CACACACACACACACACACACACACACACACACACACACACACACACTCCCACATACTCAGACACACACAATTTGTTTTATGTATTTTTATTTGATGTCTCTACACAGTAATTGCTTAACAGTTGTAGCAGTGATATTAAGAGACTAAGGCATTTAAAAGAAAGCGAGTGAATCACATAATGCTCTTTGTGTGCGCTTGAAAATGCATTTATTTTTTCACCCTGAAGCAAAGACAAACAAACATAGAGATGTTATAGCTGCAGAACGAGTAAACGTTTGTTAAGTTTACAATATCTTTTTCGCATTATGTAGAGCTGGTGGGGGGGGGCATGAAAGCATAAAGGCAGTGTTCAAATCACACTAGTAGCTCCCAGAAATGTGTCATACTGCAGTCAAAATAATCCAAACCACCAAACAGTTTTTGTTCCTTATTAATGATCCTTATTATTGTAATATGTATACTCTCTGCTGTAAGTAATCTAATAAATGACCACAAAATAATGATTTATTTTTCCCTGCACCAAATTATAATGCACTGATTCTAATTGAATCCAAAGTGAATTGATGCTACGGTTGTCAGATGCGTTCAGTTATCTGACGTATATCTTTTTCTGTGTTTTGTGAAAAAAACACAAAAATAAATAAATAAGGACACTCATTTAGACCAGAGCATTAACACCTTCATGAATACTAATGTCTTTCTGGTGTCACTGTGCAAAGAGAAAACGGAGAATAACGTAATATAATGCTCACTTGAGGCTGAGAGGTAAATTGATTTTGTCAGCTGTTTTGCGATGGATTGAATTTCCAGAGGATAAAGAAGGTGAATCATTGTAAAGAGACACTTATTCTTTTAATGTGGTGAAAGCAATTTGAATGGCAGTCTCATGATTTCTTTTTTACATTACGTTCAGTTCATTCCTCTTTAGAGCTCAAATTATTAATCTGTTACAAACTTGTGACAATCCAATGATAATGTCGTCAAATGTCATATTTTATCCAAGAAACAGTTAAGAACCCAAAGATTTACACTCACAAAAGACAAAGAAAAACTGAGAAGCTGGAACCAGTTTATAGTAAATTTAGCCAATTAATTTTCTGTCAATCAACTTGTGGATAAGTCTGCTTATTATTTCAGCTGTTTCTTGAATTCGATTTATGAAGTATTCAAATACTGATTGTTTTTTTCATTAAATTAACATGTCAACAATTAGATATCAAATCCAAATAAGTTTTTTTTTATATGTATACTTGCATCTATGTTTCATTCACAGACTCCACAACAGCTTGTCCTCATTTACGATCCAACCAGGGATGCTTATAGTTACCAGCCACGATTTATACATTTTCAAACACAATCATCAGAGCATGTTAACTCCACACTGGAGACCGAACTTAAGGCATTCATGTATGTATTGGCTAACTTAAATAAGGAGATCGATTCCACTCTCATGTCTGTACGGAGAATGTGACACTACTGGCCGGGAGCCAGTTAGCTTATCTTAGCATAAAGACTGGAAACAGCTAGCCTGGCACTGTTCAAAGCTAAATCTGTTTACCACCACCTCCACTGTACAGCTCACCAATTACATAAATTATATCTAATTTGTGTAATTCAAAAACACAAGTTGCAGTTTTACTGGCATCAGAATTTTGTTAGTTTTGGACAGAGCCATGGCAGCTGTTTCAAGTCTCCTGGCTATAGCTTCATATTCAACAGACATGGATAGATGTTTTTGGGTCTTCTTCAGTTCTGGCAGATCAATATGTTCAAAGGGAGATACAATCACTTTGGTTTCTGCTCATGGTTCATACCGGCAGTAAAGTCTCACATCCTCAGCATAATGTGTGTGATTAGTTTCAACTTTCGGCTTTTATGTCTTATGAGATTCATTAGTTGAGGATTTGTGCTCATTAATGTAACTCGTTTCTGTTTAATCTTTCATTGACTATGGACATTGTTGATTAGTACTCCCAGACTGTCTGTTTCTGCATCCCTCCATCTTTCAAAGAGCTGAGTAGCTTCATTCCAGCTCCTGATCTCATCATCTCTCAAACAACTGGGATCATCATTATCCGTTAGTCGCTTATTAAATTATTAAGGAGCAACAATATCAGGGACGAACATGAAAAGCTTTTAAGTTAAGACTGTAACAAAGCACATTGTTTTCCATTACACATTTTTTGTGTGGAGAGACATGGTTTTAGTAACATTTTGGGAAACATACATATGATTTGTTATCCGAGAATATGAAGATCTAATTCACTTGAGCCGGATTGTGACTAGCGTGGTTTAGCATAAAAACTATAGACAGGAGTAAACCAGTGCGCTTTCGCTCCCAACTCATCAAATAGCAGCTTAGTAAGTGGCCCTTTGGAAACTATGGAGCTTCACAAATCCCTCTGGAGTCCGTTTTGCATGTGCAGGGCTGCCTCTAGTGGCTGTAGAGATTATGACTGGAGTAGAGGAGAAAGTCAGGTGATGTATTATAGACAGCGGCAGTCTGTGAGGGAAAGAGGTCAGGGTGGATAGATTGGGCAAACAAACACTTTCAGTCAGGAGTCTGTTGTTTGTGTCCTGTCAAGTAGAGTTGAGATCCCAGAAGAGCTGCCTTAAAATGAAAGGAATAAAAGTACGGACTAAGAAGATCAGGCCGAAGAACACAGAGTATATATGTTCAAAAGAGTATAATCCAACAGTCAACTTATGCATTTATGTATTGTGAATTAATGTGAAATGATTTAAGTGATTTAACAAACTGTAGAGTGATCATAATAATGTGTCTGTTGACAACGTTCAGGAAAGTTGGGGATCATAGTGTGTGCGCTGGACAAACAAATGGTGGCAAAAAGGTATGATGGTATGATGAAATCAGTCAGAGACGGTCAAAGTGTTGCTGTAGGTGTCCTCATCTAACCGGAGTAGAGCAGAAATTAAGTAAAGTTGTTTGTGTAAAACTCAATACTGTGACTAAGAGTCATGTGCCAAGGGTGAGAGAGCTGGAGGAAGTGGGGGGGGAGTGGTTTGACAGGGCAATATATTGAGTCACTTGTAAGATCAAGTTTGGATTTGACGCAGGACACCGTCCAGTACTCGGCTGAGACCACTGGACATTGTTCGAGAGAAGCATCGGAGGACTCCATCTCTGTTCACGGCAAGTAGAACGCCGTTCGTGAGCAAGGATTAGCAGACGGAGATTTTCCTCTCCCCCCTGCTTGAAACTGGATAACAGAGGGAGCCACTTTCTGACTTTGTACTGATTATAATCAGATCGTAATGAATTGAAGTAGGACAGTATTATTTGTGTGAGCTGTTGCTATGCCCTTGTTAATTATCCTGCAATAAATATCTAAACTGAATTTAAAGTAAATATCTCTGAAATTGAATTCACCAAGTAGTAAAAAGTACTCATGACTGTAAAAAGTTAAAGTATATTGTGTGCATAACAACTAAAGAGTTCTGAATGGTTATCCTAGTTCCAAGTCCACTAAACAATCCCTCATAGCTTAGATCCTAGCTATCCTGGCACCTTACCAAGAGCCTAGATCCATTAGAGGAAAGCTGCCATTAACTGACACGACTGATAGCTGCATCCGGCCAGAGGGCCTCATGGCCTAGTGTAGAGCGAGCAGTGTCGGTAGCGGAGTGTTCAAAGCCCCCGAAATCCAGGCAGGAAATAGGGGAATGGATAACATGGTGGACCGAGCTGTTAGGAGCAATATCAGACAGAGGAAGAGTAGTCACCCTGATAAGCCCCTCGAAGAACTACGACCCAATCGTGAAGAAGCCTGAGTCATCGGGTGGAGAGCAGTTATCAACTTTAAGGCCTAAACCGCAGGACAGTGACTAATCGAGCCAGTCTAATCAACCCCCAAGGAACGCTAAAAACTCTGAGATTGAAAAAGTACAAGTCCTGTATTGACCTGGCAAACAGATTTTTCTCGCTGAGGCTGGCTAAAGCCTCACAAGGCAAGGTGGCGTTCACTAACAAAGGCAAAGCATATGTTTGGGAGAGACTCCCGCAAGAATATAAGAACTCTTCAAACGTTTTCCAGTCAGCAGTAATGGACATCTTGGACGGCCTGGAGGCGACCATGGGGATGAGACGGAGGAAGAGGATTTGGAGAGACTGAGAAAAGTGATCGAGCGACTTACAGCGGCAGGATTGAAGTTAAATCTCAAGAAAGGCCAATTTGGACAATATCAGGTGAATTATCTGGGGTTCCAGGTCTCTACCGACCAGAGAGAAGGTGGAGCGGATCGACCCACCAGCCTCGCTAAACGAGCTTCAGAAGGTACTTGGGCTCTGCAATTACGTTAGAGATCATGTCCCCAGCTACCAGATGTATGCAATGCCGCTGTATGCACGACTGAAGAAGAAAGATCCTGATGAAGCATGCCAATTGTGGGAATGGACAGCTAAAAGCCTGAGCATTAGAGATGCTGGTGGAGCTTATTCTTTCACTTGAAAGAAAACCAAGGTGTTGCTGTTTACCCATTTCCAATCTTCGTCCAAATAGTTTTTGTTGTTGTTGTTGTTTAATGTATTAATTGTATGTATTAATTAATGTACAAATTTTTAATGTACATTGGTCTGGTATTTTCCCAGTACCACTCAGCCAGAAGAAACTATGAAATGCTAAAGACATATTAATGTGTTTGAAATTCAGTAAACTTCTGTAACATTAAGCCTCAGGAGAAAGAATATCCTGAAAGTCTTTTATTACGATTTAATTCACTTTTGTTCCATATCTCACCACTGAGGTCATGACACTACTTTTTTTTTTGCCGTGTCTTATCTTCCCTCTCTATCTGATCTGTGTGCCTCAGGGACGCTGCACCTAGTCTTTGACAATGAAGTTCAACTTGTTCAGAAGGCCACAGGCCGTGTCGGCCGCCGAGCCCACCGGTGTCACCGGTGTCACCACCGCGACCATGGCCCCCACCCAGGCTTTCGTCTCCACCTCAGTGCCAGACACCTCTGGCTCCAACAACACAGAGATCAGCAAGAACGACATGTTTGAGGAGATCAAGAGCAAATTCTTGAACGAAATTGAAAAAATCCCATGTAAGTAATGCCGCAGTGCATCCCTGCTTCCTATTGGGATTCAAATTGCTCTTTATTTGACAAAAATATAGAATTTCTTTTGTGACAAACATCAAACCTTAGACGTCAATCTCAATCATCCCTCTCTTGTCTTTGACACTGACAGTACCTCCTTGGGCTCTAATCGCCATTGCTGTGGTGGCCGCGTTACTCATCCTCACCTGCTGCTTCTGCATAATCAAAAAATGCTGCTGCAAGAAGAAGAAGAACAAGAAAGGGAAGAAAGGCAAGGATGGCTTCAACATGAAGAACATGCAGGGCGAGGTATGACGCCTTGTGCTTTCTACGTGCTGAGAAAGTCAGGGTAACAGGATGTTCTGGGTGATGTTTGGCCTCTACTTTTCTGCATCTCATTTATCATTCAAGTTTTTATTGTCCTTCATAATGTATTGCTGCGTTTTTATTAATTAAAATATGTCTCTAGCTAACCAAATTTGATCTTTCACCAGCAGCTTTTGTAGCCCAAGCTGTAGAGCACACAAGGAGAGCTCGCTTCCCCTCCATTTATTTGATGTTGTTGTTGTGGTCGTCAAATGTGTGGTGCACTCCATTGTGGCCCTGTGGTGAAAAATGACACACTTTGTCACAGGGTGGCAAAGAATAATGAGCACCGTGGAGTGTAAAGTTTCTTCTGGCAAGTCGCAAAGTAGAAAAAGCTGCATTTTTTTTTTTTAATTAAAGATGATGGATAAAGGTCTGACACCTGCAGATATATTGGGAGATTTCCGAAGCAAAGCACAGTAAATCAGAAGATAAATTATAGAAAAACCAGTGAATTATTTGAGAACTAATCAACATCACCGTAGATTGCTCTGAACTCCAGTGACAGTTAATTAAAGCAATCAATTACTTGTGTCCACGATGTGAATTTATCGTCCCCAGACGAAAACAAGTGTCATTTCTCATCATAATTGTGGTGGTGGTGTTGACTGCCTCTTTTCTTGTAGTGTGTTTGGTGTCTTGTGAGTTGAATCTCTTCCTTTCTCTGCTCTCCTCCTCCCCCGCTTTGTGTCCGTCTTGTGTGTGCCTCATGTTTCTTGACTGTGGTGGACTCCTGCTCTACGGTAGGTGGATATCTCACGTTGACGCTCTCTGGCCCCCGGGCGGAGGGGGTTTCATGGACTGAAAGTCGTAGCTTCCTTTGTAACTCTTTCTCCTTTTTTAAAATTTTTGTTATGACGGCTTGAGAATGTAACAATGGAAAGCTATGATCTGCTCCATAAACCCCAGAGAGGAGAGTCTAACCATCTAGACACTTTTAACACTATTAGCCGTGCATGTGGTATAAAGGGCATGGTTGGTTGTTTGGGAGACATGTAAACGGTGATGATAAAGCTGCATGAAGAGACAAATGAAGCTCTAGCGTAAGTTCAGACAGGAAGAGTATACTCTTGCATGCCTAAGCCCATAGCTTATTTACCATACATCTGCCATCACTCATCATGCAGGCACACTCATTATTTCCTTGCTGTCATTGTTTGGGGCTGTCAATCATGATATCAGCTGTTTAGATCAGCTGGTCTCTCTAGCTAATAGCATAACGACACAAGGACATCGTTAGCCTATCGTCTTGCTGCTGTCTCTCTTAAATATGATTGTCTCTCTACCTTCAGTACCTTCAGGATACTGTTACGCAACCCCCCACCTCCCCATCTCCGCCAATCTTTGCAGATTCATCAGCTTCATCAACTCATTAGCCTCATCAGCCACCATCACCACCAGTGTCTGGACTCCACGGGAGGGTTTATATTGTTGCCACTCACGGCAATCACAACTCCATCACAAATCTCCTCGTTGAGTTCAAGCGCCAAATAATTTCTGTGTAACTCATTAACGCAGCATCTGCCATAATAAACGTTAACTACTAATCATCCACTTGGCTCTCCTGGTTGAAATTACTCGCAAATCTGTCTTTATATCCTGTCATTATAATGCCAAAGGAGGAGGTAGGATGTGGAGACTATGGCCTGAAAATAAAGACAAGGTCGCCTTGGCAATAAGGCTTTAATTTAACTATAATAATAACACTGCAGCAATAAGACGATGCATTATTCAAACTTTAATCCTGAAACATTTATTGTAATAGCGGTGAGCTGATGGATTTTATGATGAAATATCAAAGTTGTGAATAAAGGGGTTATTTGAAAGTCAGCTCCTTGCACTCAATATTGTGTCTTATTTGCCTTTCATTATTTTAATATGCATTGCATTCGCTGTTGTGAGCTAGTTCCTGAGGGTTTTTTTTTATTTAAAGATTTTGTGAAATCAAAGCCCTTTGACAAACAAGAGAGCTATGCCAACATCTGATTTCATTGGAAAACCTTTGTATCCTTCTTAGTGCAACTAGCATGCAAAGCCTCCACTGACTCTGGCTGTCACTGTAGTGCATAAGCATGTTGAAGGAATTGATCCCAAAAAACACTGGGAGAACAACAATTAAAAAAACTATTGTGGGTTTCTCACCTTGTAAGAAATGAATCCTTAGTTATTATCATCAGGTGCTGTGCAGGTAAGCAGTAACCAAAACATGTATCTCCCACGTAAAAACTTCCTGGAGCTCCAGTGTCTGTGGCATGCTGGCTGTTGTAGGAACCACTGTTAGTCTTATCCCCCAACCCCCTGACCTTTAACACCCTGCTTTGTCTTGTCACCTCCACACCACAGACACACCAGGATGACGAGGATGATGACGAGGGAGAGACCGGACTGACGGAGGAGGAGAAAGAGGAAGAGGAGAAGGAAGAAGAGAAGCTGGGGAAGCTGCAATATTCTATAGATTATGACTTTGAAAATGCAAAGGTCTGTGGTTGTCCCCTTGTGAATACATTACACATATTGGCAAGCTTCATAAGAAATACAAGTCTTTTTAAAGCATCGTGAATAATCAGATAAGATTGAGACAGTTTATTATAGTGAATATTTTTCATATCCTATCTACATGAAAGTTTCCAGTATTTAAAGAAGTAGTTTAACATTTAGGAAAATACACGGATCAGGTTTCTTGCTGAGCGAAACAAAGAATTGCCACCGCTATTAGTTTAGTTTAGTTTATTATGTTTATTTACATCAGGGTCCATGTACAAAAATACACAAATCAAAAAAAAAAAAGAAGAGATGCTGATGCTTTGTACCAGATTAAGCTACTAGCTAATTTCATAATACAACACCGAGGAAAACCTATCATGTCCACTACAATTGGGCCAGCGACCTATTAATGCCTGCAAGCTGAATACAAAGTTACAGCTAGCAGCTGGTTAGCTTAGCTTAGCATAAAGACTGGAGGCAGGAGGCAACAGTTAGCCGAGCTCTGTCCAACGGTAACAAAATCCATCCATACCAGCACCTCTAAAGTTCAAGATATAATGTGTTAACGTCACAGATGTGAGAGTGGTAACAATCTCCTTGTCTCAAAAAAGCTTTTTTCCCAAAATGTCAAACTACTCCTTCAAAGTCTGATCCCTGAAAATTTCTGGACAGCTTTTTTGTAAAACCTCAGCAGAGCAACCACAAAGATCAATCAAAAAAAACGACATGTGTAACAAATACTTTTCAATATTTTTCGCTTACGGAAAGGGAACGCATTTGTCAAAGATTCTGCAACTTTATCATCGTTACTGCAATGCTCTCGGGCTCGGCAGCATATGGACACACATGGACGTACATGACATGAATGTGAGTCTTTGAGTGCTGAATCAAAGAAGACATTCCTTAGATTTAGTCAAGATAAAACAGAGCAGGGACTAGAAGAATAGGTGTGCTTTATATGTGTCTGTTCCATTTGTCCCTGAAATGGTATTGTGTATAGCTCAAACATATCTTCACAGATCTTATGGGACAGAAAAATCACAAGGTGACAGTTGTGTGGCATTGAAGAAAAACCCCTCTGACATTCAAAAACGTCTCCAGTCGAGCAGGAAGTTTGTGGAGAATGATTGCGAAGCTTAAGTTGTCAGATGATTGTATACAGCCAATCTCTGCAGCAGTGACCCTGACACAAATGAAAAATCCCACAAACATTGGATTTTTTTGGGCCTGATAAAATTGTGTTTCCCGTCCCTTCCATCCTGCCCACCCCTCCTCTACCTGCACACAGCTCACAGTTGGCATCCTTCAAGCTGCGGACCTCATATCCATGGACTCAGGCGGAACCTCCGATCCTTACGTCAAAGTCCAGCTCCTACCTGAGAAGAAGAAGAAGTACGACACCAAGGTCCACAAGAAAACACTGAACCCTGTCTTTAATGAGACATTTGTATTCAAGGTACGTCTTGTCGGTAAATAAAATATGTCTGCCGTTTCAGAATTTGTTGCAGAGCAGGTGTGCATCTTGCTTTCCAGTTTGCACTGTCAATATAATACATTGATGTAGAAGAGAGAATCGGAGACAAATGTGTATGGCTGATAGGGAGGAAGTTTGTGTTTTTGTATTAAAGGAGCTGCACAAATAATCCTCCTGACCCTCCAGTCCCTTACAGTGTGTTCACACTGGTCTGTGCATCCTTCAGTACCTGCTGCTCTTTCCTGTCCTGGCTAATAAAGCCAGCAGAGACTTTACAAGTAGCTCGTGGTCTTGCTGGAAGCTCTGCCTGCCTGCAAATATACAGCAGCAAAAAAAAAACATATAAGAAAACATCTTATTTTGCAGAACGACTCACTTTTCTATCCCAGACACAGCTGAGGAGATGCTCATAGCCATATTTAGTGTTTCATTGGGAAGGTTTATTTCAGGGACTTCTTACTCTCTGAACCTGATTAGACGGTTTCTATCCATCAAAGGATGGTAGCATGCATAATTGTCTTCACCTTTTTTAAGAAAGTTCAGTCAGCTGGAGCATCTTTTCTAATATCTTTCTTAGCTATTGAGATGATATCATGAAATAAATAAATAATAATAAATGATAAATAAATCATTTTATGTTATTTGAATAATTTGTCCGTAGATTAACTCTGATCATTTATATTTAATTTCCACTTTTTGTTTTGTCAATTTCTTGGCAGCCTTTAAGAATTCACCCATTCACTGGTAGTAGCTGAAATACATCATGCACATGTATTAACAATGTAATTAAGTTTCTCCAATCAACATGGCTTACCTTTTTAATTTGAACATTTCACTTACTTAAACGTAATTCTTTTACTGGAGCTTTCAACTACCTCTTTTTCAATTTGACCTTTTTCACTGACTCACTATTTGAGGATTTAAGTTGTTTTTAGAGTCACTAATGGAATTTTAAATCCCTAATGGAAAAAGCATGAGGTATTAAGGCATAAAACAACAAAGCACTGTGTCTGTCAATCAGGTGCCCTACGAGGAGCTCGGTGGGAAGACTCTGTCTATGTCTGTTTATGACTACGACAGATTTTCCAAACATGACGTCATTGGAGAGGTGAAGATTCCCATGAACACCATCGACCTCGGAAGGCCAATCGAAGAGTGGAAGGATCTGGACAGCGCCGATCAAGAGGAGGTGCTGTTAACATTCAACTTTAGAAATTTTGCTTTTAAAGAAGACTGTGATGATTAATTGATTCACAGCTGTTCTTATAGTAGTCCAATCATTTTTCATCTTGTCTTGTTAACGTTACGTGACCTTGTAATTCTGACACTAAGATATGTGACTTTTTTCATGCAAAGATTAACCCTTCGAGGCAAAAAACACCATCTCATTCATCCCAATGGATGGTTGAAAATCATAACGGTCCTCATTTCGAGCACAACTGTTCTATTAAGCAAGCATTTTGTCAATGTTACCACGAGGACGAAAATACCTTAATTTCATCGCCATCCATCATCATCTTCTAAAACAAGCAGTTCGTTGTTGTCGGCTGATGAGCTTGTGTCATTTCTGTCTCTTCTTTCTGTGCTGCCTGATCAGCCTGAGAAACTTGGAGACATCTGCATCTCCCTCCGTTACGTCCCCACCGCCGGGAAACTCACCGTCTGCATCCTGGAGGCAAAGAACCTGAAGAAGATGGACGCCTGTGGATTATCTGGTAGAGAAAAGTTACAACTGATAAACAGAAGATGTTGAATGATGTTTAAAAACACATGATATAGCAATGAACACATTTAAAGGATTTAGAGGATCACTGCACATATAAATCAGTTCTGATGTGCAAGAAAGCCTAAAACATCAAATATGGAGAAAAGAAGGCAATGCACACTTTCCATGGAATAATTAAAGCTAGGGTAGGTAATCTGTAAAACCTAGCAAGAATACGCTAGATTTTTAAATGATCCAGCTCAAAAACTCAGCCCAGTGTTGTCAACCTTTTTCTAATGTAAACCCACCTGTGTCATTATTACTCGGTAAGAGCAACTAAAGTAGTAAAAAGAGCAAACTGCTACACTACAATAACTTGATGTTTTTTTATTGCTGATCACACCTGATGCCCTTTGCAGATCCTTATGTGAAGATCCAGCTGCTGCAGGGGGGTAAGCGTCTGAAGAAAAAGAAGACTACAGTGAAGAAGAACACCCTAAACCCTTACTACAATGAATCCTTCAGCTTTGAAATCCCACTGGAACAGATGCAGGTACAGTGCAAGTCAAACCAAAATATATTCTCCTTTTGCAGTAAGTTAGATATACCTGTGAGTAAAGCAAAGTGTTGTTTCTCTACTTTGAAAGTAATTTACAAGCTTATTTGAATGACTTATTATAAGAAGTTACACATTCTCTCTTGTTCCCTTCGTAGAAAATCTTAGTGGCGGTCACAGTGTTTGATTATGACAAGATCGGTAAGAATGACGCCATTGGAAAGATCTTCGTGGGCAGTAAGGCGACTGGCCTCGGTCTGAAGCACTGGTCCGACATGCTGACCAACCCGCGCCGCCCCATTGCCCAGTGGCATCCATTGCAGCCAGAGGAGGATATAGATGGTCAGCTGGCATCCTTGAATGCAAAGAAGTAATGTGCTCCACCAGCCAGCTAATGCACTAACTCAGAAATCCAACCCCCACCCCCTACTTTGCATGAAACCCATGACTTAACGCGTGACTACTCGTCATGAAACCTGCTCAGCAAAAAAGAGACATCTTAGAATATCCGCTCATTCACGGTTAAGTCGAAACAAACTCTTTTCAAGCTTCACATTTCACACATTGGTGTTTGCTGGGAAGAATGGCGTTGAGTTATTGAGTGACTGGTTCATGAATGATCGACTGTTGGTCTTTCTTTCATTCGAAGAAACTTAGAAACTGATTCTTAGGGTGCTGACACTGAACGAAAGTCTTGGTGAAGACAATGCCGGAAATAAAGCTTTAGTTTATAGGGCATGCTTTACTTACCTCCCCGCTGCTCTGCATACACCACGCCCAGTATTGTATCTTGCTAATAAGTGTGCTATAACTTGCAATAGAAAGTACTGTAGTATTGGGTTATTTCCTGCATAGAGTTTGTTTAAGTCCATTAATGCGAAAAATATTTAATTGAGAATGAATGAGGTCAAGGTCACTAAATGCAACAATCCATGTTGCAATGTATTTTCAAGATAAATCTGCATAAATGATTGTCTTCGTTTCATCAGCTCAGTAGAATACAGTGTGGCGTAGTTGATTTTAAGTTGCTTGCTTTGTGTTGCCACAAAGGCACATCTATGCATTTAGGTTCAACACACACGTCTGTGTCCTCGCACGGATCTAATGTAGGACAGGAATACAAGGGTGCCTTTCCTGATACAGTACAATACATTAAGCTTCATTGTTTTTGTTTTGAAGAGAAACTTTTGAAAGTCATTCAAAAGTAGTCAGGGACACTGTGAATGTGCCATCTGGAATCTGTCTTGAGCTGTGTTGACCACTTGGATGTAAAACCTTACTTATCGGTGGACAAAGTAAGGACACGGGAAGGCTTATCGGTGGCGTTTAAACCATGACTATGCTTCTTTTAGATTCTGCTCTTACTTTCTAAAAACTGTGCCATCTAACCCTTTTTTTGTTTTGATACCCACTTAACGGCCTACGTGTCTTTCTTTGACGGACGTTGTAGTTTAGCAAACATACTGCAGTACACTTCAATACTTTAAAAAGTTTCTGGTGAAACAACCGGACAAGATGTTTTTATAAAGAACTGAAATTGAAATGTAAGATGTAGCTGCACTTTTTAAGAGAGCGAGGATTCAATTACAAAACGGCAGATTTGTATAAATCTCAACAGGGCAAGTGTTCCATCAAAACATATAATAAACATACCTTGGACCATTTTGCTTGAACCAAATAGAGCTGCAGAATCTAGCATGTATCATGCCTCGCAGTATTTCATGTTGTTTAGATCGCTCACTCATCGGCCACAAGCTTTGTAAACCTGGAGCCAAAGTACTGCGACATTATGGTGTCACACCTTCATCACAGACATACTGTGGTAGACTGATGTGCACAGGTACGGAGGCAAAAAAAAGCCCATTTGGATTTAAATCTTACAAGCAACTCAACACCGTATTGTAAAGTTTGAATATTACCGAGTACTTTTAATACCACTGAATTTCTAGCATTGAAATATTTTACTTGGAAAAACATATTTAGACTATTTCATTTTTTTTGTGTTCAATTCACAAAATGAATTCACAATAAACTATAATCAAGTTTCTTAATATCAATTGCTCATTTTTGATCTTAAAATTCAAGTCAAGCTCATTCAGATGCCAAATTCTAAGATGAAAAATGATATCTTGAAAATTTTGACTAACAAGGAAGCCTGAAGGAAATTATGATTGACAAAAAACAAAACAAAAAGGAATAAATCCCCATGTTAGCATCTCGGAGTAAGATGAAGACAAAAAACATTTGCAAATATGTGTGATGCTGATCTTTAGTATATTTTGGTCAGAAAAACCTAATAGTTTAAGTGAGCATTAGAAAATGAAGTGGTGAAAGTAGAAAAGCTAAGAATATCTTGTTTTAAAAAAGGTATTGTAACATCCACATTTATATTACTAATACTGTTTGTGTCGATGAAAGGGAACCTGGTTACCTTTTGTCCGAAATATAATCGATAAAAGAGAAGCTGAGATGAGAAACTTTACAATGAGCGTGCTTGAATTATTTTCTATGAGATTTTGTGAAAATTAAATCTCTAAACTGCGCAAATTATGTCAAAGAGGGAAACTCAAACCATATGAATTCAGAAAGATGATTTTCAAAGTGAAATATTTAAATTCTCTAATCTCAGTGATATATAAATTTCAATGTTAAGCATCATTATTCATTACATTTTAGAATTAGGTGTTCAGTTGAGTATAAAACTCAAATTATTACAGCCTTTCTTGCTTCTACAGGAGCTCATATATACTCACCAGAAGTAAAAAAAATAACTCTGCAGGAGGGTGAACAGCAGCACACTGACTGGCCCATGCACAGTACTACGTCTCCCTAATGTTGACATTATGCATCACGCAAATTTGTTAATAGGCTACAGCATGTACTCACAAGATGATGTAAATAGTAGCATGTTTTAAAGAGGAACCATAATTATAACGTGTATGTGTGTTTGTGTTCTGTGTCACTTTTGATAATAAAACGGAGTAAAAAAAAAAGAGTATGCACTGACTGCAAAGAGTATGTATTTTTGCTGAATGGGACTGAATGTATGTCTGAATAATCCATGTTAGGGTTCACAGGCTCCCTTTAACGCCCGGGATAGAAGCAGGGTTGCTTTGTGTATCCGCTTCGTTTGCCATAATACTGCATGATTGTTTGGTTTTCTGTCACTGTTTGTCCTCTGTATGTTACGATATGCTTGGGCTACAAGTTATGTAACTATTAGTCATTTCTGCTTGCACTTGATTTACAGTATGTGTTGGTCACTGACCAGTGAACTGTATATATTTCAAAAAAAGGAGAATATTTGCCGGCTCCTTGATTTTCTATCTCAGTTTACCGTAAGTGTTTCCTTCATCTACTCCTGCCAGATGGGTGTCAAGTCTTTTAAAGTGTATTAAATGTAGACACATTGGACGACATTATTGACTTGTAGCCCCTTTTTCCATCCGTACTTCATTAAACTGTACCGTCACATCTTATTGCTATTCAAATAAACCTGCTATCCTGTCCAATTATACTTTTTACAAAATGAAACGAGTCAGTAATTTGCTTATAAACTATATCATAGTTTTTTTTTATTGATATTGCTTTGCTGGATTAGTTCTGTGACATATTATTGCTGCATATTATTAATGCAGAGGAGCTCCAGTCATGTAATTAAGCAATCAATAATCTTTTCATTCCAAATGTCACTTCATGAGTGAACACACGGTTGGACTAATGGATTGCAATGGGATGAGCTGGTTTTTGTGTCACTATCGCATGCTCTGAGATATCGATGCTGTGTGCTACCATGGCATTTCTAATGTGGGGATGTGTTAACCCCCGTGTGCTTTTCATTTTAGTCACTGTCATTTACTGGTAGATGAACCGTTATTTACAACACACAAGTGCATGAAGATGAACAATCACAATCTTCATGGCGGTCCATCTTTCAGAGTATAATGTAGCTATCTCTCTATGTTTGAGGGGCTGAGAGAAATACATTCTCCATCCAATATGCAACATTGTTCTTTTCCACAATGTGTCTCAGGTCATCCTGTCCTGGGGTCATTTAATAAACTCACTCTCATTTACATGTATATAAGCTGCCATCAGATTCTGTCTCCTATTTTCGTGTATTTGCCATAGGACCAATAGAGCCCGTATTTGTTTATCGGTGTTCTGTTAATGGACTATATGAGTCACTTTTCTGCAATGCAGGCAACAAAATCCCCGTCTTCCTGGGTCTCACAGGCTAGCGGAGCACAGAGCAGACCCAAACAGAGCAGAACATCATTCGCAATGCAATACTGCCAACCTGCTGCTTCGATAACGGTTCCTCTTTAGTCCTCTTATGCGAACATAGCCATGATACAGAACACCCAAAGACCTGATCATCATCCGACCTACTCCACCAGGCATTCACTTCCCGAGCAACGGAGACAAGGGAAATGCTTGGACGTCTCTCTTGACTCTTGTTTTTGTCTTGTTGTAGAGGTGTGTCAATAGTTGTGCCTTTGTGTGATCTGCATGATTTATTTCCATACAAAATCCATGTTTTCCAGCAAAAAAAAAAAAAAGGGAACAAAAAGACCACAGAACTTGTACTCGTATGTCGCTCTATGTAGAACTGAATTACTCAAGGTAATCCAAAATATGGGATGTGGTCAGGACATATCTGTGTGTTGTGAAAATGTAATCATAGGAAATAAAGGCATTTTAAGTAGACTTGTCCTGTGTGGTGTGTAAATGGTTCAGAGGGTGCTTTTCCACTTTCGGTCAGTGGGTGGCATCATATACAGCATAAGAAGAATACTTTGAAGAGTGTTGAGGAGCACATTTTACATGAAAATGAAATCTCATTCTGGCAGGGGTCCCATACATGTGAGATTATGAATGAGGCTGATTAAATGATTCTGAATGAAGATAAATTATGAATAGAGTGATGCTTCTAAAGCTTTCATTAAAATTTGTTTTCATTTGTAATGATCAAATTCAATTAAAGGGAAATACCCATACAAAAGAGAATTCCCTTTATTTCATTGGGATGTCTTTGTACAGTTATTTAGCTTCAAAGTTCCTTATTGACATTTGCAGTTGACGGTATCAGCTGTTCTGGAGCTTTGGCTCATATAACATGATCTTCATCAGAACTTCTCATTTGTTGAGTTTAAAGATTCTCTATACGGGATGCAGATCAATAACAAAGCAGCACCCAACTATTTGCTATGTAAAGATATAGTGGAGTAATGTAAAACACAGAATATCCCTCTTGTGTGTTGTTTTACAAGCTTCTCTGTGCTTTGTTGACAAAGCCAGGCCGGCAGCGTGTATACTTTATATGCATGTCTCTCTGTCTCTCACTGGTTAGCTCATGGCTGCCGCTCCGCACTCATATGGGGGTCACCGCTGATAATGCTGCCCCGACCGGCGTCGGCCTCGTCAAGGAAGCGTATAGCGCACACCCTCTGGTTGCCCCTCAGGTAAACATTGTTAGCACTGTTGCAATTGATTGCACTCTGCGCTGTTTAGCAGCGTTAGCTGCGCTAGCCGTCGGCTCAGCTGTCACCATGTTGAGAGCCGTGTGGAAGCAATAGATGCGCCTTTGAGGTCGAAGGTTCAAAATACACGTTTGATCTTGGAAACTACAGCTGACAAAACAATCTCACTTTGGTCATCTCGCCATCTGCTGATAAAGATAATGATCTTCATGTGACTGAAAGCTCCAGAACAGCTACTTGTACACATCCTTGTGGTGATTGTGTTTTATGAATGTACATGACTTAATTCATATTTTTTACATGCAAGTCTGATTTTGCTGTAGTGCTGACAGCTATGAGGCAAGGCATTTTTGAAAATGATTATTATGTAATATTTTATTGTCGGTAAAGGTGAAAAGCCTGTCATATGTGACATCATACTTCAAGGTAAAGCTCTTGAATCAGAAATGGTGCTCCCACGCTCCTGAGAAATGTAGCTCATCCATCATCCGCTGTCCCTGATTCCTCAGAGCCAATTTTCAAAGTCTGCATATGGAATGTAAAAAAATTTTTAAAAAATTGCAGTTTCCATGGTAATACCTACTTGGAAATACCTGCAATATTTTGTCCATATATGTATGTGCAGGGATCTTGAGATGATTACACAGTTTTATAAAAGCTTTACTCCTGGACAGTTTGTTCATGTATAAGCACAGAAGAGAAAAACACACGAAGTGGTCGTGTTGGCATTTGCCTTTATGTAGAAATATGTTATGAATATACAATATGAACTTTAATTTAATATATTTTCTGTCAAGGAATGTGCTACTACTTTAGATACAGTACAGTAACATGAAGCTTTCACATCTGATGTAAAATGTGTCTTTATCCCTGCAAATGTAAGTTACTCAACAGACTAAAGTTTCAAACATTACAAGAAAACGATGAACATTCTGTCTGAGGATAGGATGCATGTAAGAAGAGTGAAGGTATAAGATGGCTTCTGGTATCTGTCCCTCTTCTTCTTATCTTTCCTGCTTCCTGTCTCACTTGGACAGTTTAGTGATGACCCGGATTAAAGCTCCATTCTCGTCCTTCAGTCTCTGGTTTTCAATCTTCATCTCTGCTTTAACCTAAAGGAAGAGCACGAGACAATGGGCACAGACGTAAAATCACATGTTGCTCATAACCCGGAGGGCTCATTTTGCTGGGTGGACCATGTCTTTGTGTAATGGTCAATATAAGAAATTAGAACATTAAACAAACAGTAAGCAACAATTCCTGCATAGTATGCCTTTGAACAGACTACAGGTCGACCTCACATGCTGCATGTGAATCGCCATGTGAAAACTGTACAGCTAATTTTCGTGGATGGATTCTTACTTTTAGTTTTGAATTCATATTTTGGTAATATTTTCATATGCCATGCACAAAATCCTGGTTTTGATTGCCACAAGATGTTCAGCCTCCATTACATCAAGTATTCTAATGTTCAGCTGAATCTTACACGGGTCTTCTTCAGTCCTTTACAGAAAATGACTAAACCAGAAGGGAAATTAGCTTCACAAAAAATTGTCTGAATAAATCTGGGCAGTTTAGAACAACAGAATCGCATTATACACAAACACAAAATCTTTCAACACTTGCATCCAGCGACACACAGACACAACTGGAACAGACTTGCTCATTTAAATACACACAACAACAGTGCTTCTCTGTTGTGAATATCTACTTTCAGACCAGCGTCCCGTGTTTGTTTAGACCTCTTATTCACAGATAACAAGAGGTTTCTGTTTAGTATCCTCTTGGGCAAAACACAGCAGACATCTGCGAGCGTTAAGACTACAGATGAATACTGATGGCTCGCTCGCTGCAGTGTCAAAACGCTCACACATTCCACAGCCAGCGGAGCATAATGGTGACAAATGATGTCAGCGAAAAAAACACCGCAGACACAGCAGCTAACACCGTCGCTCCAAAGTCCCGCAGACACTTTATCCACTGTTTGGATTTGATTGTTCGTTGTTTTCCTCGTGTCAAATAGGCTTTACTCTCTCCTGTGTAAGGGATTCTGCAATGTTGTTAACTATTAATATTTTTAAATGAGACTGAATATGAAAAAAAAGTGTATTTTAATGTAAATAACAAATCTGAATTACCTTCAACTGTTCTTCCATATCTGATATTCTCTTTTGTAGACTCCGACTTTCCTATAAAGAAGAACATTCAACAAAGTAATTAACATATTAAAACAAGACAAACACTTTGGATTAAAACTGTAAATGTTTATGAGCATTTGTATAATCCTGGCTTTATACCTTTTTTTCTGTCTCAAGCATGTTGGACCCACAATCTCCCGCTCTTCCCTTCTGCATAAACGAAAGGTTATCACGAAAAAGATTACAGTCCAAAGCCTTGAAGCTGTACTAATATAGGCGCTACATTTTTCATAACAGTGAGCACAAGTGTCTCATGTAGGATATCCAATATAACCCCAGTTGCACACATAAACTCTAAAGCGGCTCACTGTTATTGTTCCCAAAATTGCAGTGTCCTTGTATAGCCGCAATCTGTCATGTCACATTTCTCTCCCATTACAGCATTACCTGATATTACCATGAGGATGTATGGGAGCATTTCTGTGTGCACTGACAAGAATAATCGGAATGATGGCTTGCAGAAACTTTCAGGTACTTTTTCAGGTGTCTCTGCAGCGACCATTTCCATCAGTTCTTTCACTCTCATGAATCTGGATCTGGCACATTAACTGCGTGTACCGTACCTGTGCTCTCTGCAGCTGGTCCTGAATCAAGGCCAGTTCCTGTTTACTTGTTTCCAGCCTGGACTTCAGCCTTTGATTGGTGGCCAGTGCCTTTTCATACATCTACAAAATACGAACTTGTTAGCAAAAAGGGAGCGTTTGATTGACTAACAAAACATTGGCATCAACAGCTAAAGTGATGGTTTGTGTGGTAGTTTTAACAGTTAATATGCAACTACTGCTTTTTTTTTTTTGTTGCTGTGCATGAGGTCGTCATTGTTATCTCAACATTGTCTTCTGTGTAATGTGGTACAGATATCCCCGTTGCCGTGAATCCGAATGATTTTGTTTCTCCCCGAGAGTTTAACAAACAGGTCAAAGTTTACATGTATCCACTGAAATATCTTAACATCTACGGGCTGGTTGGCATACAGGTTTGTATAGAAATCCGTCATTTCAGAAGTTCACATTTGTACAATTCACTTTGGTGACCCGTTGACTCTCTGTGGCGCCATTGGGAGGTCAAACTGTTTATTTTGTCTAATAGTTTGTTTTAAGACCAAAAGTTTGCGAAACTAATGTCATTGTCATCAGTCTCAGCTGATGGGGAGCATGGTAAATATGTATCAACATGTTAGAATTATCATTGGGAGCATGCCCAAGTACAGCATCACAGAGCCGCTAGCATGGCTGTAGACTCTACTCGGTCACTTTCTTTCTTCACTGATATGAACTTCCAGCAACAAAAACTTCAGTCGTTTTTATAAGCTACAGATCAGAATCAGAGTTAGAATCAAACTTGGTTTATTGCCAAGTACGCTTGCACATACATCCAAGGAATTTGGCTTGGTGATTGGTGCATAACAATGAACATAGTGCAATAGTGACAAAACGTAGTAGATAGATACAATAGTAGAATGAACCAACAAACAAATTAAGAGAACGTTAAAATAAGTATGTTGTTAAAGTGTATATTTAAAGTGAAGTGTTGTAAATGTAAATGTAGATGTCTGTGATTGTCCTGGGGATGTAAGTGTCCGAGTCACTGGGGATCCTTAGCTTTAGTGATGAGATTTGATTTGAGATTTTTGGATTTACAAATCAATCCTTTAATCTATAAAATGCCAAAAGTCAGAAAAGCCAAAGATATTGAAATTACATCCCAAAAATTTTAATATATCAGGAATCTGCATAATGAAGGACATAAATAGATTATCACTCACAAAACTTGATGCCAATTTATTTTCTGTGGACTAGCTGATGAAATGACAATGACAAGTCAATTCTGCTCTCCTGTTTATGTAACATTTTGTTGTGTACTTTTATTTTGTGTACCAGGTGTTCTCATCGATTAATTGACTAAAGCTCGGCCATCTTGTGGTGTATTTATAGGAGGTCTTTTTTAGCCTCTCTGTAAAGCACCACGATGACAGTCCTGTGCTGAAAACCACTGGTTGACTTTAAAGTTTAAAGTCTGGAAGTGAGTTCATTAAGTGTTGCCATTTAGTTCCTTTGTTGGTTCAACATGCAAAGTGCATCACCTGCCTTTTTATAGTCATTGTTTGCTGACTCCTCTTCTGCCCTTTTCCTTGCAGACTGTCTGTTCTCTCGTTGTAAGAAGTAGGACTCAGCATGGTTTGTTGATGGATCGTTGGAGACATCCGAGGATCCAGAAGAGCTCAGTCTGAAAACACAAGAGAGGTATTATTCAAGGTCTAGCTCAGTTGCTGTTACAGAGACATCCTGTTTTCAGTCAGTCTCTATTGAATGTCTTTTGTATATCAATGGTGTGAATTCGATTTGCTTACCTAGACAGTCTCTCATGCTGAAAGAGAGGAGAAATGTTTTAAAACCGACTATCTGACCAAAAGGAAAAATTAAACAACTTTAATGTTATTTTTGTAAGAACATTCCTGATTATCTTACAAAAGGTTTAAGCTTAGTCCCAATTTAAACGTTACATTAGCATAAACAAGTCATTCAACCCCATCGTGTCCTCTAGATGCTCATTACTGCACAAATAATGACATCACACATGCTTGACTTCATTATTTGTTTGACTGGCTCTTTGGTCGTGATTTGAGATTTATGAAGCAAATCCACAAACGAGGCTGTGCTTTGTACCACGTTGACCATTTCCTCTGCGTAATATTGTAAAGATGCAGCTGCAACGCTCACAGGACATCTTTTATGACATGTACAATGTCAGCAAGTGCATTCATTATCAATAGACCTAGAAAGCATAGCTCAGTGGTTCTTTGAAGTGACATTACCATGCATCATGAAAGACTTTTTTTTTTTTTCAGTTTTCCAAGAAAAGGTTTATGGCAGTCTGAAATTCCAAGCCGAGTCAAAGAAGGAGAGAGGAAGTGATCTCTGAAATAAACTGACAAGCAGAGATAACTAAACACATCCAAAAAAGGTAATAGTTCTGGCAGTGGCTTTCACAATGTGTTCATTATTGCCTGCTGAAGTTCGAAGGGTTATACGGTTTCCTTAGTGAGAGGTTTTCACTCGGAAGAGCAGAACAACAGCTCAACAGTAAAAACTCCCTTATAAAGATGAGAAATTGTAGCCTGGTGACTACAAGGGACAAAGGTTTAGTTCTTACATCCCCAGTACGAGTGATATGAACCCCAATATAAAATGCAGATACAGATAACTGACAAATGAGGGGAACATAAAGCGTCTTAAGGCATTGAGCCACACTGTTCTTGCAAAACATATTTCCTTATTTAGTGCTTATGATGGCAGAGAGTGCTGTCTAACACATGGTCCAAAATCTCCCCATAGGTTTTAGATTTAGATTTCTTTTGGTGACTGCAAACGCCATAGGTTATGATTACATACATCGTGTTTTACATAATGTACTTTGTCAAGGATTATGTTTGCTTCATGTTTCACAAATGAGTTTAAAATGAGTCTGTAGAAGACTGCATGGGGAGGAGCTCCGCTGTACTTTGCGTTTGGTACTAATTAGCATGAGCTTGTTAGCATTGTCACTGTGAGCATGTTAGTATGCTGATGTTAGAAATGACATAAGCTCTGCCTTAGTAAAGCCTCACAGAGCTGCTAGCATTGCTGTAGACACTTTACAACAACAAAGCTATTCAAAGTGCTTTACATAGAAGATAAAATGGCATTACGGTATAAAACAGTGTCGCCATATATCGTCTCTTAACCTGCTGAACCCATCCTCTCCATCTTTAAATGCTCTCATATTAATCATGAGGAAAGCTAATATGACACGCTCTTTCACGTTCTACTAAATTCACGTATTTACTGTATTAACTTAGAAGAGGTCATTATCGAGCCTGTAGCAATTTTACATCAGCCTATATGAGAATAATGATGCACTGAATTACTTATTGCTGCTGACACAACTTCTAAGACAGTACGTGAAGTTCCTTTATGCATTGTAGTCTATCATTTCAGACATAGAGCCTTATTGTGACAGTCACATAAACTAAAGCCAAAAGCAGACATGGTGAACAGTTACACATCTAACTAAATCATGGAGATGGCAAGAGGAGTTCTTTAGAAGAAACAGGGCTTTCAGTTACAGACACCACGTGTAAACACAGTGATATGCCTCTCCTCAGACATTTACAAGATCTCTGGATCTTCCCCAGACTCTGATGTCAGCTCCTTTAAAACTCTCTCTGGACACTTGGATATGCTCAGTAAACGGCAATTAATGATATACAGTATGCAGACTTGGAAAAAGCTCTGGTTTAGATTAAGCGACAGCACTTATAAACAGATGCTGATGGAAACACAGGCTTTTGTGTCCCGTGCATGTGAGCGATTCTGTCGCTAAGCTGTCCTCCAGCCTTTCTAGAGCCATAGAGGCACTTCTTGCTTGCTGACCAGCTATTCCCAAGTGGAAAATGTGAGCTTCCCGTAGGACTAGCGAGAGATAAACATCCATAAATACTGCGTCTGAGTTCCCACAAGCCAGTCCTAAGCGCTCTATCCCTCCTCCTCTCTGTTCCCTGTCATCCTGTCTTTCACCCCCTGCTCTCTTTCTCTCTCTCTCTCTCTCTCTCTCTCTCTCTCTCTCTCTCTCTTCCTGTATCCCTCTCTCTGTGTCTCTCCATGAATCTTTCCCAAGTGGATTCTACAGATAACTGCTCGCTACAACTTTTCTTTGGTTTCACTTACAAGTTTTGTTCCTCCATGCTCACGCACATCAGCATGCAATTTAGTTTCACACTTTATGTGAGTCATTGCGAGCCATTAGAAGCATGTCAGAGTTTTAGAAGAGATAAATCTTTATTATGGGGTGGCTTAGGGGTTCAAGATGCGTACCATGTAACCACAATGTCCCCGGTACACTAATGGGGATCAAGGCAAATGTCCAAAAGATATTCTGAAAAATAACTTTATAATCGAACAAATTAACATGTTTGTAAAGTTTAAAGTTGTACAAAAAACATCTGTCATTCTAATCAGCAAGTATAGTGCATGATTTTATATATATTACACTGATAAATCTGGCAAATGGAAACACCATCTTTATTTGTTTATATATGATTAATTGTCAATTATAGCACCCAAATAAATGCGTAAAATGACAACAAAGCTTGAAAAGTCACTGATTACGCCATCACTTGAGAAATTCTGCTTCTAAATACGTTTTACTTGACTGCAGCACAATATAAATGAAACTATTGCAATAATAATAGTGCCATTGACAGTTTAAAGTGGCCTGAAGGACATTAGAAAAATCCTTAGTTGCATTCCAACAGCTGTCATATGTAAACAATGTTGTTGCTTCTCATGTCGGAGCATACAAACACACAGGAATACCTCTGTGGCTCGTTACAGACATGTGTTTGACAGTGAATGAACTCTAATGTTAGTGTTTGCATTATGTCAGCCGTGGCATTTCCTCTAACCAAACAGACACTGGAAAGATTAAAGACAGTCCGGCCTTACCCTCAGGCTCTTGGTGGTGGCGGTGGATGAAGCCGGAGAGGAGTCAGAGAGCGACTTTCTGATGCGTGGCTGATCTTTGTTGTGAGAAAGTAGAGATGACATCGCTCCCAAAGCTGCTGGCCTCCGCATGCAGCTGTAATTTGGTCCAAAGTAACTCCAAAAGGTTTTTTTTTTTGTTGTCTTCAACAAAAAAAGCAGCAAAGAAGAAGTAGAGGGATCTACTTTTAATCCACCGACTGATGTCAAATTCTGTGGCTGTTTCCTTAGTTTAAGTGAGCAATTGTGATCTTCATGTGATGGTGAGACGTTAAATATGTGATGAGCGTGAAAGAACTGCACAAATGTGAGAGCTGTGGAGGAAGTGGGGGGACTGGGGAGTAGGCGGGCTGTAGTGTGTGTGTGTGTGTGTGTGTGTGTGTGTGTGTGTGTGTGTGTGTGTGTGTGTGTGGACATAAGGATCTGACAGCAGTATTGTTCACAAGGGCTCTCAAGGGACTCAGTCATTCAGCCAAAAATGGAAAAAGTAAAGCAGCATTTGTCTTAGTGTTTTGAGGGTAGTTTCCGTAGATGAAAATTATTTACATAATGTGTGTATTATTTACAACGAAGCACTCTGTTTTGGTTCTGTGTGTAATGCACATGAAGGTGTGCTTACTATAAGCGTTATTTCCTTTGCAGTAAAAATAAGTTTGATTTTATTACACTTTTTGTACTAAGAGGAAACTTTGAGAACCAGTGGTAGAGGAAGTACTCAGATAGAAGTAGAAGTAGCACTACAACAAAGCTACTTTGTCACAAGTAAAAATTAAAAATGTTATTTTAGTAAAAGTACAGAAGTATCACAATGTGCCAAAAGTAAAAGTACTCATTATGCAGAATGGTCCAGAATCATGTTTATTAATCAGATTGATGTTGCAGCTGGTAAAGTTGAAGCTAATTTATTATTTTATATTTTTGGTTCATGAGTAAATGTGCTCAGTTACATTCCACCACTAGGAACAACACTGTTAAAAATGGCAACTCTTCAATTAAAACAATTGGTAGAAGCTACATCTGGAAGTAGAATTTGAAAATACATGCAATTGAGTTGGACAAGCACGCATGTTTGTGTCGGAGTGAGATAAGAGTGTATAAAAAACAACAGGTTGGTGAGAGGCCCAAATACACAGTTCTTAGTGTGAGACCTGTTGTTTTAATTTCATCAAGCTGGAGGCTGCATGTGTTGACAGTTAAGACGAGTTTACATACCTTTCGGAGTATGTTACGTGACACAGTTGCATTCATTATGTTAGCACAGCTCATTTGTTTGCAATTTATTCTCCTAAAAAGGAGTGCTATCTGTGTTACTCATGCTCAGTAAATGCTTGTGGAATGGGACAAATATATTTCAAAGCAAGTATGCCTACACTGTAAAGTTTCACATAAAATATTTGGTGTAGCTTAAAAATAAAATCTTAAACGGTCTGAATGTTGTCAAATTGATGTGCTCAGTGGTCTCAGGTGGTGATACACACCACATGTATGATTCCTCCATTTTCAGTTTGCTTCTAATTATGTCCAGCCTGAGCTAGAGTTGGCTGTCAGAGCAAGCCCCATCCTGCACCTGCTGCAAATTAATCACAGGATTAAATAAGACATATAGTTTCACAAATGTGAAATCATTTCTGCAGTGACACTGATGAGTGCATGTGTTGCTCCACTAGCAAATTGCTCCAAAGTATGTTTTTGGATAGAGGGATATTTTCAGGAGGAGTCAAACTGGCATTGAATGGTTTTCTGTGGTTATTTGACTAGTTCAAAAGAAAATGGCAATTATTGTTAATTGTTACGGGGACAACACACGTTAGTGGGACCGTCAGGACCAGCATTGACGCTGGTCGCCAGCCTGCTGTCCGGCTGGTTTTCTGTAACCAGTGTAGCAACAAAGCATGGCAGAATTAGCAAGCTAGTCCGCTAGTCTGAGCTAGCTAGCTGTCCACCAGTTAGCTTGTTAATGCCACACTGGTTACAGAAAATAAGAGTGTGTGGATGAAGCATTAAGTTGTTAAATGTTACTCATTTACTCTGGCCCTCTACGCCTAAGTCACCGCTCTACTGCTCGTTTTATTTGTGCAGCAAAACCTCACCTGAGGCAATTCCTGACTTGCTGTAAGTCGTTTTAGTTCGTATAGAAGTTAGCCCTCTCAAGCAGTCGCAATGGCAACAGTACACATGACATTTGCCACCGTTCAGACCATCCTGCTACGTTTCTTTGAATGGGAATGTCAGTTCTACTGCTATTGTATTTCTATGTTATCTGGACAAACATTGTTATTGGGTTTGTTTTGCACATATTTTAGCTGCACATGTAGCCACTGTTTAAGAACATCATCATATTAAAGATATAAAAATTATGTGTTTAACATTCAACAGTTGAACCTCCCATTAGGTTTTGCTTTACGACACCCGACACCTGTACATTAAATATACTTGTCAGCTTGTCATAATGCTCCCCTTTTGTTGTTTTATCCTGAGAGATTAATGTAATTACTGCCATGAATAAAATAAAAAATAAATCACCATTTTAAGGTCTAGTGTGTAGGATCTGGTGACATTTGCAGTAAAGTTGCAGATTGCAACCAACTCAAATTTCTCCCTTGTGCCAAGCGTGTAGGACCCGCTCTGTATGTAGATAGAAAGGGCTCATTGTAAGGTAAAAAGAGACACTGAATCCTATTTTCAAGAGATTACACACAAGAGAAAGCATACTTGATATCATATTCCCTTCGTGCCAATAGATCCCCCTAAATGCACAACATGAGAAGGCTAATGTATGACACTAATTGTTAGTAGAGTTTCCCTTACAAGTCATGGACCACTCAGATGTCTCCTCCTTTAGACAGAACGTTTTGTTAGTTGATTATTCTTTATCATTACGGTAGTAATCAGGCACCATCTGCTGGCAGAAAATAGCACTTTAACCTTTTCACAAAAGAAGTTCATGACGAGAGAACAGTATGTACCAATGGAATCCTATGTACCCATGTGTACAGCATGTACACTTGTAACATAAATAACTTCACTGAGAGAAGCACTACATATGCACTTGTATTCAATTAAGAGCTATAAGAAGTACAGGCACAATCATGTTGTCTGTCAAATTGCAAAAAAACACTTTACATTTTATACTCATACTCTAATCTCATCATGCGTAAACAGATACAATACAGTTAATTGAATTTAAAATGATTATATAAAATGTTTTTTGTCACATGCCAGCTCTAAAACAGTTTGATAGTTTGTTGAAATTACTTTACATGAATTGTGTAATTTCCAACACTTCAATCTCAGTAACCTTCTGTATTAACAGATATTGTAAATGCATTTTCAGGTCTGACAAAGGAACTAACAACAGCGATCGTATATCTATACTTGTTGTCAAGACTTAAATTTATAAAATTTAAGTAATTTGAACAAAACAAATACTTGAAATAATTTGCAAGAAATGTGTGCTGCGTGTAAAAATTGTTCCCATTGATCCAAATAAGACTTTAAAATCACAATCCTGTGAACTAATGATTTCCAGGAGCATTTCAAATACTACACGTCCTCCTCATTTTCCTCCATGAAGACCTCCCTATTTAATTCACCAGAATCTTCCACTACAGTCTCTCCGACTTCTTCGGAAACCTCCTCTTCCAAAGGCTGGTCTAAAACATGACCGTCTACAGTCTGTTCTGCGACCTCCTCTTCTGCTGCCTCCTCAGCAACCGCCTGCTCCTCACTCTGTTCTGTATTTTCCTCGTTGTCTTGCTCCTCCGGTGTAATTTCTTCTTCCTCCTCCTCCTCTGTAATTTCCTCCTCCTCTTGCTCCTCTATAATTGCCCCCTCCACTTCCTGTTCCAGTGGCTGTTCTTCAAGCATTGCTTCCTCCTCCTGCTCCTCCTCCTCCTCTGCCTCATTTTCTGCTTCATCTTCAGTATCCTGCTGCTCGTCCTTTTCCTCAACATCTTCTAGCTTCTCCTGCACCTCAGTGGCACTCTGTGTTGTAGTGCAGATGAACTCTTCTGCTGCTGAACCCTCCTCATTTGATTTAACTTTCATTGACAAAGGAGTTTTCGCCAACTGAAATAGACAGATATGTTATTCATCCTAATGGAGTCACTAAATACTTTAATTCATCAGGGGTTTGAAAGGATTATCTTCGAAAAAAGTAGCCGGGTTTTACCTGGGAGTGAAAAGTCTGCAGCTGAGTCATGAGGCTGCTGCGAAGTGTCTGTGAAGTGGAATACTGCTCATCCAGAGTCATCTGCACTGAACTGAGCATCTCCTCTAACGCCTGGGCACGCATGGCCTGCTTAGCCTCGACGAGCTCCCTGAAAAACACAAACAAAACATAAATGAACACTTCTTTGGAAAGTCAGCTAATTTAAATAATGTTAAAGCATGCTTACAGGAGCTGTTAAATCAAACGGAGCTCACTTTATTGCAGCCATCTCCTCGTTGTTTGTATGAAGTGCATCTTTTTGAAGGTACATTGACTCTTTCAGCTCATTCAGGTCTGAGGCTTGCCCCTCTAATTGAGCATTAAGAGCCTCCACCGATGCAGCCTGATCGTCAACTCTGGAGCATGCACTGACCACAGCACTGGCTAACCCAGCCACGTTTTCAGCCAGCGCTGAGCTGGAGCTCAAACCGGCCACTGCGCTCTCCTTCACAGTCTCAAACTCCTCACTCTGGTTATTGAACATGGCCTGGAGGGTTGTGACGGACAGGGCGACCTGCTTTATCTCAGTCAGTCGAGTGTCCATCTCGTCATGGAGGGCCCAAAGCTGCGCATGGTCGGAGTTCTTCAACTTCTTTGAAGTGGCCAGGGCAACCTCAGCCTGTTTCTGGGCCTCCTCCAGGGCAAAGATCCTCTCCTCCACACCCAAACCTGTATCCGTCTAGAGAGTGAGAGAAAATATTTAGCCATGTGGTTTGATTTCAGTTCAAACATTTGAAATGTCTTCTTGTCCTTGATTTATGTCAGACTGAGCTGTCTTATTGCTGTAGCAAGTAGGGTCGGTATAATATGCCAATATATAGCCTTCCATTAGACAACATCAATGTGTCAGCAAAATGTAAATGTTGTTTATTTATATATATATTTATATTATTAATATCCTTGGGTGTATTAGGCCATTGTGGGTAGTGATCAAAACCACTGAGTAGTGTTGGATGATTTTTGGATCAATGTGATTTGTCAGGTATTAATTAAACCAGACATTTCAAACCAATTTATTTTCTAGAAATACTATCATGATAAGCCTAAACACGAGGACAGAGCAGCTAGCAGCAATCACTGCTGATAATGAAAAAAAAATATTTGGCATAAAGCTATTAATATTTCACAATAGCCGTCGGGGCTGTAAATGCCACTGAAAGTCAGGTCGTGCTAAAATTAGCGTGTCAAGTTCACCATTTTAAAACATCGTACATCCGTAACTTTTCAAAATAAAGTCCCATACCTAGATTTTCAGAAATATTATTCGTCATAAATTACAATAACTACAAATGACTGAAAGCATTTTTTAATGCACCTCCTTTTTTATTTGTTTGTTTATTCATATTTACTTATTCGTTGAAAAACGACTATCGTGATACAATTATTTTGAAGGCATATCACCAACATCCGGTATTGCACGCTCTCTTCAGCGAGTTAAACGCAGCTGTTGCACTGATAAACCCCCCCCCGCCAACGCCGAAATAACGTCCAAGTAAAACTGTTGATTTATTTGACCTTGGTGCACAATAAAACAAAACATAAGCAGTACATGTAGGTAACATTTCAGTATTTAACAATGTCCATGACCAGCCCAGCAGAAACACACAGAAAAGCAAAGTTAACGTTAAACTGGGGAAGTTACCTGTGCGTCAGTCACCGCCACCACCTGCTGGAGGTTTGTGATTCTCTTCTGCATTGTTGTAAAAGACTCCGACAGCTGGTCGAGGCTCTGCTGCTGCTGTACACAAAACCACCCCATTAGAGAGGCCCCGATTGTGAAGATAATAATGAACAGCAAGGCTGGAGAAACATGGGAGTTTATCTTGCTCCTGGACTGTGACACTGATGAGTCCAATACAATGGAGGTGTTCTTCTTGCAGCTTCTTTGACTTGCGCTTGGCCATGGTAGCAGGAGGAGGAGAGGAGGGAGACTGGACAGAGTTGAAGACCCGCTTGTCTTCAGTGAACTGGATTCTGTAAAGTGTGGCTTCTCCTCTGGAGATTCAAAGATATCACATTTTTTCTTCTGCTAGACCCTTTGACCTAGTCATTCATTGGACCCCCATACCAGCCACAGCAACTGCTGGTGTGGGTGTGGGGGGAGTGGTGGAAGAAGAGCTAAGGTCCACCACTGACGTATAATACCACTATGTAAAAATACTCACTTAGATGCAAAGGTCTGGCATTCATGACTTTCAAACTTACTTTCAAGTTAAAAGTGCAGTAGCATTAGCAACAAAATGTGCATAAATATTGAAATAAAAAACGCAACTCAATTACTAACTTTCAAAGACTTAGAACATGTAATGTTAAGCAACACGATACTTCTAAAGCTGGTCCTGGTGTGGCCAGGTTATGTGCTGTTGTGGTGTTTATTTGTAGTAATGCATCACATTTGTCAAACTTGTAAATATACAAGAAATTTAACTGCCTGAATAAGACTGTCAATACAAATTACAGGATTTCACTCTGAAACGCAGTTTGAGTAGAACATTAAAACCACTCTGAGGGCCCGCCCGCGGGCCCTCAGAGTGATAACTGCATATTTGTGTTATGCACACAACTGCCCTGTAACGATGAGTATTAATGTGATATCTCACATTAATGCTACGGTTCTTGTAATTCGATTTATGCAAACCATTTCAAGATACAACAACAACAGCAGGTACAGTTAACATCTCTGTCAAACAAGCACTCCAAAAATAGCCGATAAAATATCGCCATGACTCACCGATTATGATTCATAACGTCCCCCTTGTGCATGCTAGTCCAGCAAAAACGGTCTTGCTAGGTGGCTAAGGGTCCACTCGATCGAATCCAGTAAAAGATTTAGTCCAAAACACATTAGTACGTCCATAAAGACCCACGGGGGGCTGTTGCATCATTTCAAATTAGCCAGCAGATATGATAACTCACGATCATATTTCGGGCATAACTTCATGTTCCTTGTCAACAGAGCTGAGATTTTCATCGCAAAATGGAGCCTGCATTCCGCCGGTTAGATTGACACCTCATTTGACCCAATAGGAGCTTCTATAGCCCGGCCACAGTCTGGAACAGCCAACGAGAGTCCGCTTTGAAAGACAATGCCCGCCTCACTTCTTTGGGTATAGCTCGAGCCAATCGCAACAGATCCTGTTCAAACTCAGGCTCCACATAGCCGATGAAATTACGAAGCCAGGGATATGCAGATTTATCAGATTGAATGCTGGGAAAGTTTTCTAACCTGAACTGGAAACCATGCGTCAAAATACATTGCCGCACTCTTAGTAAACCACGTGTGAAATATTAGTTTTCTGTTGTATTGTTATCAAATTTTAACTTATAGTAAGTGTCATGACTGTTAGCTGTTGAAGGAGAGTCTTTTGGACAGTGATTCTGTCTGATTGTGAAGAAACGTCAGAGCGTTGCTGTTCAATAAAGACTAAAACCATACATGTAGTCCCAATGGTTCAATAAGAGCTGTCAGTTTACTTTGGGTACGCGGTTGATAGGCGTTTTAGGCAAATTATGCAGGAGTGAGAAGAGGTACTAAATCAAATTCCAAGTACCTCAAAACTACTTATGTAAAACATTTGAATACATTTACTTATTGATTTTCCCACTTCTGGTGCCACTTCTTATGCACAGCACCTCCATGGAACTCACTGACAGCTGTCATTTTCAAACCAACCAATGGCGTAAAACTGGTGGCAGGAATGTGGATCATGTTGCTTTTGTGTGTAATAGATCCCACTATGGCATAGTAGTAGCAAGTATCACAATTCTCAAGGCTGTCTTTTAGCAATTTAATGTAAGGCACCAGCAACAGCAACCATTCTGTATCCATAGAGAGACCCCAGTCTACTCTATGAGAGAAACAAAAGATCGACATTGTCTCTCTACCATAATGAGTAAACTATAGGCGGCAACCTCCGGTTCTAGAAGGTGAAGGAAGCTGCACTCAATCTATACAACATTAAGCTGCTAAAAGGGCTTTTGTGTTACACATAATTCAAGATCATCGAACAGTAGAACTAAACATTTTGTATTTTACCTAATTTTCAGTAAATGGAAGCAGGATGGTGAAATATCTCCAAAGTTTAATAGTGCAGGATAAAACATTTTCCCAAAAGACACAATTCATGTTTTTTTGGTAAGTTACATGTTTAGATAGTTTGAAATTAAGTAACTTAAAATTAACGAGTTGTCACTACATTTTGGGTAATTGATTTAAAATACAGTAGAAATCTTTTGGTTCAGCTCCTGTTTGGCAGCTGCAGCTCCTCTTCACTCTGTAAAGGAACATATTGATGCTCTCAGCTTGTTTCATTTACATACTGGTCACTCAAATGTTTCCTCAGTGTCTAGACAAAAATAATTTAAAACCTCATATAAATGTTAATACCTCTGACAATCAGCGTCATTGAGGACTCGGCTGTCCCCAGTTTGTTCTCGATGACCACTTTGTATTCCCCGTCGTCTTTGGGTCCCACCTTCAGTATGAGCAAGGAGCAAACTCCACACACATTGGTGACGTGGTAGTTGGTGTTTGTGTTCAGGCTGATATGGTTGTGGTACCATGTCACTCGTGGAGCTGGATTCCCCCTAACTGCGCAGCTCATGTAGCTCTCGTAACCCCATGGAGCTGTACGCGTTTTCAGGGGAACGATGAATGATGGTGGGGACTGGAAGTCAAGGGATTTTGTCTCTGGCATGTTGACTTTGAATTTTCCTGAAACACAAAGAAACTCAAAGTTTAGGGTTTCACAAATGGCCGCTTTTCTTCAAACTTATAACTTATAAACGTATACACTTGTATTGCAAACTAGCTACGAGTTCTACAGTGTAAATGGCATCCCAAAAAACGAATTTGTGCAGAGGATGTTATGAACGAGGACAAAAATGTACAGTGTTTTGGCTGACTCGGATATTCAGCCGTATTTAATCGAGCTAGAATATACTACCAAAGAAATGCAGCACAGAGAGGCCAAGGCTGCTGCTGCATTAGCCATGCAAGAGGATAGGGCAATTTCAAATAAGCTCCAGGGCCACAACAATTTCTAAATCCAGTGTTAGATACCCATCCAGGCCATGTTTTGTTTTGCATACATATATTTAATTGATTATAAAACACAAAAGCACAAGTTAGTTATTTCAAAATGCAAAGAAAAATGTATTGTCAGTGACATAAGTCAGTAAGTAAATTGTTGTACTTGATCCCATTTAAGGGTCACCATAAACTTTTTGCATGGGCCACCCCTGGGCCAGGAGACAGGATCGTAGCCGTTAACCCCCCCCCCCACACACACTACAATATGCGTCAACCGTGTCTCCTCTCTTCTACTGTCAGCTTTCCAACTTTTTAGCTGTAATCTCCTTCACTTAAAGAGGATCTGTTCAATCATCTCTGTTGTCACGTAGGCCTAGTTTAGTAGACCACAGTTAAACTGTTCTCAGTCTGTCAAGCTGAGATGACATTTCACCAAATAAATGGGCTTGTGGGAAATGGTGTTCGCATAGGGGCTCTAAAAAGTCTTAATGGGACACTTTATCAAGTTTACGCTTGACGTTCTGTTTACTCTTCACTCGTGTGGATAAATGGAATGAACTTCACAATATACCTTTACGAGTGGGCAAGAATATGTTGTCCGGTTGAATTTTTGCAGTATTGCATGTCAGTGTTGCTTTGAATGCCGCTTTCTTATTTCTGGAACAGAGCCCAGTAGTTCCAGTTTTAATTAGGCTTTTTACAAGTATTATTACAGCAATACTGTTCTGAATTAGTGGTTGAATCCATAAAGAAGTTAAGTGTTTGAAAAAAAACATTGGGGTGAGACATTCAAGTTTTAAAATCCCCTGTAATTCATTCCATTTATAAGGTGCCCGTCTATCCATGGTCAGTATTTACCTGAGGGATCGGTAGGGTTAAACTGTTCTGGTTTGGTGAGCAGTGGTTTTAAATTTGAAAATACAAGTGTTTTACTGAGGCAGCTTCTGCAGGAAACATGATTCACTGAGTACAGGATCAGTGATTCAGATGTCTTTGTGATTTAACCAGAGACACCAACCTTTTTGCTTTATGATTCCAAACACAGGGGATTCGGAAGGCGGTGAAAGACCCATGTCATTTTTAGCAAATACCCTGAAGTAATACTCCCGTCCAGGCAAAATATTGATAACTGTGAACTTATTGTTGAAGAGGTTGTCGGCCACTGTCCTCCAAGTGCGTAGGAAGGAGTCCCGCTTGGATACAATGTAGTGAAGTCTGTCGTCCCTCTTCTCATCTGGAGAGGGAGTCCAGGACAGAGTCACTGTTTCTGGGATGTTCTGATTCAGCTCCACTGGACCTGGAGGCTTGGGATCATCTACATCCAGATTTAGAGAGACAGAGGTCTGAGTTACAAAAGTGTATCTGCTGTGCAACAAACAGTACTTCTTATATGCGGCTCAGTTTCTCAGTTCATGGCCAAGCACACTGAGACTCACCTGTGACTCTGATTTCAACATTGAGGCTCTCCTGGCCGACAACGTTCTTGACAGTAATGGTGTAGATGCCACTGTCGGACCGCTCAGACGTGGGGATTAACATTTGAGAGCCTTTATCAGAGTTGGTAATAGTTACATGTCTGGGCACTGGAGTACCATCTTTTAGCCACAGGATTTGTGGCAGGGGCGAGGCCTGTAGGCGGTAAGAAAGAAAATGTATTTGTTAATTAGATTAAATACATTTCCAATTAATTAGGAGGAAAATTTCTTGCACAATACCTCAAAGTTGATGTTCAGACGGACTGTGTTTCCAGATCGTATCACCACAAAGGTCTTCATGTTGCGATCTTTAAACTTTGGCCTCACTGTGAGGGTGAAATTTAAAATAAAATGTTGAGATTCTTGTAATCATACAAGTTAGCAAACTGGTAGTCTTTCATTCTTCTTGAAATAATGTTGCCATTCTCAGATTTTTCTAATTCTTTGTACTGTATTGCAGCGTATATTAACTTTGGCAGCAGCCGCTCGGCCTGAAGACCAAATCCAATGCTGAAAAATCAGCGGGCGACTCATCTGGTTGCAAAAATAATTCTGATTGAATAGAAGTTTATGAGAAAATTACTTCTCACTTAATTTATTACATCAGTAAACATGGTAAACATAAGTTTATGGTCTCAATCGCTAGTTTCAAGTCTTTTTTAATACAGCATGATGTTCTTTTAGTAAATTATGGCCCCATTTAGATTTTAAAAAACCATAAAGCAGGTTATGTTTTAGGATGTGGTATACCTTGTGATTGACAGGTCACTACTACTGTGCTGGGAGTTGAGTGTGGTTTAACCCTTTTATTGTGTGTTTTCACTTTGTGAAAGTTAGATGAAACCTTAATGGTCTCCTAAAACTGCTTATTCAGAGTTTAGTTGTTCTTAGCTCCACCCTCTCGTTTCACTTCTGGTTTAAAAAACTAAACGGCGACAGACCATAGAATAAGCCATTTACACATAGGGAGTGAGTCCTCCTCACGGAGTTCGCCATTGCACCGCCATGTTTCTACAGTAGCCCAGAATGGACAAACCAAACACTGGCTCTAGCCAGAGCCTTTCGCGTTTTCACCTGAAGACCACTGTAGGAGTATTCAGTCTGATGCAATCTGCAACCTCGGCACTAGATGTCACTAAATCCTGCACATTGCTCCTTAAACTGTCATGTCACATCAATTCCACCCTTTAACTCCAATATCCATGTATACAAAACAACATATTGTTAGACACTATACAAACACTATAGAAAAAATGAAATCTTACCAGGAGGAGGCATGGCAATGATGTAACTGTCGAAGCCTTGAGGTTCTCCATTGCCTCCATAATTGGTGGCAATTACTCTCACCCAGTAGCTGGCCATCGCCTTCAAGCCAAGCACGGTGTAGGAAGTTAGAGTAATTGGGATGGCATTACAACGAGTCCATTCAAGGTTTTCAATTGGTCTGATCTCCATGTAGTAGCCTTGGGCTTCATCCTCTACCCCTTTCACTTCTGTAGGTTTAGTCCAAGCCAGTGAAAATGTGGTGTAATTGGAGGATGTTAACTTCAGGTCTGTGACTTTGCCTGGAGGTTCTGAAAATGCAGAAATTAGAGGTTATTGGCTCAACATTGTCACGCTTTTATACTAACCAAAGAGGTACAGACAGCATTAAGTTCAACAGATTCAATATGATGCATGACTTGCATAATTTTCAGTGGAAACATCTGCAACTGAGTATAAGAATTCAGTGTGACAGACTTACTCATTGGATCCCTTGTGATTACTGTCTCACATGGAATACTAGGATCTCCAGCCCCGGATAGGTTGATAGCAGCCACCCTAAATTCATATGCTGCCCCTTCAAAAACATCTTTCACTGCATACTTTGTATCTGTGGAAAAAAAAAATGTTTTGTTGTCATATTACTAGAAATGTTAAATTGTGTAGGCGTGTGCGTCAGAGGTATGGATATTTCTTGATTCTACTGCATCGCGTTGCGGACCAGAATATTTAGAATTTTGGTTCAAAAAAAATTTCAGCTCAGTTTGAGTCTTTGCTGCGTTTTGCTGTCATTAGCTGTAGCACTTGTTTCTCTCCTCTCCCCTCTGTTCTCTGTTGTGAGTGACGGCACTCTGCTGTCCGCTAAGTTGTTGCTCTGGCTACCGATATTAGCTGCCCTGTTTCAACAATGTTGGGCGGAAAAAAACGTGCACGCTGGCTGAAATTCAACTGTGGTATTGTTCTGTTGTGGGAAGCAGTGATGATATCTCATAAGAGAAGGAGAGCTGTGAGAAAGGAAAAGTAAATAACTAAAGTCCGCTAGCTGCTTGGCTCGTTCACCCACTGAGGCGGGTAAAACAGATACTGGTATTGAAAAGATGCAGCTTCGTATATTATAGAATGTTGTTGTCTGATATTTGAAAGCACTTTCTAAATAAAACAGCGTTCAGAGGCCAGTGAAGATTCACACCTCTAGTATGCATAGCAGGCATTAATATTCCCACTTATTCGCTTTATTTCTGCAGCTTCCCATATGAGTTGGATACCTGTAATAGGTCCCCCTTGATTTACAAGGCTCCAGTAATTTGTGCCTTTCTTGTTCTTTTCCAAGTTGTATCCCACTATTTTGGTTCCTCCAGTGTCACATGGAGGACACCACGCCAGATTGATGCAATCTTTAAAGGCACTGACCACCTTTGGTGCAGCTGGGGATCCGGGATAACCTGTGGAGGAAACATGACATTTTGACTATTCTGTGTTATGTTATATTGTTCTAATATTCTTTTTATTACTGCCGAAATTAAATCATGTCAACTCCAGCACACCATGTTTTATTCACCAAATATAACCAGCAGGAGAGCTGACAATTGTCGGGCAAATGTAGCATGATGTACAGGAAAAATAGTGTTTTCATTTTGATGTACACAGTGTACACAGTGTCTGCACCTCGCTGTGAGTGTGCTCTCAAAGCCAGACATTTCAACTTGTATTACGTCCACTGGGAGTTGGATGAAGTTATGTTTTCCTCTAATTAATGCAGAAATATTACCGTGATGCATTATGTAAAGCTTTGTCATCGGGCCAAGTTTAAGCGATTAAAGCCTGACTCTGACTTCTGGCAACTCCTCGTGGAAGCATCAAAAATGACAATCCACAATAATAACAATCTTAAATTCAATGGCGATAGGAAAATGTATCAGAGTGAATAATGACATCATGAAACAACTTAAAATAGATGTAAAGAAATGTAATCTTTTGTTTGCTTTGTTGCACTCTATTGTTATTTTACCTGCTTCCCAAGAAGCGAAGGGGCTTTCATCAGACAGCAGTACAAATATCCCTCATGAAGCCTCAGTTAGGCTCAAGCTAAAGACTTACGTAAGACACCAGCTGCTATGTCTCCTGTCTGCAGGTAATCGCTGATGCCTTCTGCGTTCTTGGCTCTGATCCGGTAGCAGTATCTCCTTCCAGGTGTCACATCTGAATCTTTGTAACTTGGGTCGCTGCCGGGGATCTCACCGAGATCTGACCATTTATTGCGCCCGACTTGTTGGCGTTCTATGATATAGTTTGTGACCGGACATCCACCGCTATCTTTTGGTGGTTTCCATTTAAACTCAGCAGATGTGACAGCACTTTCCATAATGTCCACCGGTCCTTGTGGTGGTGTGGGTTTGTCTGTCGGTGAAATGAAAGTAGTCGTACTGGGAAAACGGGGAGTTTTTATCTTCTTACATACAGATCAATGTGCAACACATGGAAACTTTAATGTCTCTTTTTCACTACTCACCGAGTACGATAAGTTTGGAAATAGCTTCGGTTGTACCAAATTCATTTTTTATTTTTATTTTGACCTCTCCACCATCTTTCCTTTGACACTTAACAAGGCGTAGCTTGCTCTCAGTAGCTGATGTTTCAATCTTCACATTGAGAGCGGGCAAAAGCTCATCGTCATCCTTGTTCCACTGTATAGTCATCGGAGCCCCACCCGAGAATGGCATCTTCCATTCTGCATTTTCACCTGCCTTTATAATGACTGTCTTTGCGAATTTTCCCAGCGCATCATCATCGATTATTGGTGGATCTTCAATGTTGGAGAAAAAACTATTTGTCAAAAACCTTTTTGAACCCATTTAACCCAAGGGGTAATTTATCAATTGATGCCAAACCATGTTATTGATTTTTATTCTGACCTTGAATATTAAGTGTTGCTTCTGATTTACGGCCTTCAGCTTCAAAGCAGTACACAGCTGCATCATCTTTTCCACAGCAATCAATCACCAACCCGTGACAGGCTCCATCTTTGATAATTGTTACCCCATCCTGACTAGTTAGCTTGCCAGATAAAAAGATTCAATATTCATCACACAAACATGAAGATAAATTAAGGCATGCAATGCACTAATAGTATTACATGCACGGGGTCTGCAACAGTGATATTCATGGCAGTAGTCCTATATACAAAAATATTCTCCAAAAATAGTTGACTTACCAGCTTCCCATTTTTATACCAACGTCCCTCAGAGGTCTCACTGCTTAGTTTGCAAGACAGCTCTGCCCGTTCACCAATATTAGCAACAGTATCTGACAGTCCACAGATGAACTGAACACCGCGATCTGCAAGTAAGAACAAAGTAAACGTGTTTAATGTCTGGCCATATACAACCTCTGGTAAATATAATAATGTCACTCTCTACTGGTCAATATGCAGCACTGCACAAGATGTTTCCTGTAGTAGATCATCAAAGTCCTTTATAATTATTCAATTAAATAGTTGCCCTAAATAATAATAATCCTTTTACGAATGTCATAAGAATTTTACCTAAGTGTCTATTAAATTGTCCCAAATTTTTTGACTAACAGTTCATTTTCTGCCACCAAACGTCTGGTTGTAGTGAGTTATGTGTTATTGGAGAATCCAAAAGCTATATGATTAGTTTGATTTTAAATCCAGAATTGAAACGTCACATTTAAAAAAAAACCTTCTGAATCCATAGATCTGACCTGGGGCCAGTCCACAAAGAACAGTTTGAAGATGTTTCTTTTAAACAATAGGCCTTAATTATCTTACACATCACATCGGCCCATACGATCCCTCATATTTTACTCTAGGTTGGGACCAACTGTATTTTCTAGTCAAACCTCCAGTCCAATACCTTGGAGTAATTCTGAGACACTTGATTAATACGGACCCAGATAGCAAAGCTGACAATGTACAGTCAATGTTATGACAACTGGCAGTAAAACTATAGCATTATAGCAGTGACACAAAATGCAAGGATTTTACCGATAACAGTGTCAGGAACCAAAGGGCCAGTTCGTACTCGCTTCTTTTTCTTATCATCGGCATCCTCTCCTTCTGTCAGGAGGTTCTTATTCGTGCCGTCTCCACCATCACCTCCAGAACCATCACCAGACCCGTCTCCATCACCTCCATCACCTCCATCCCCCGCAGCGTCAGTTTTTTGTAGATTAGTCAGGTCATCTTGATTCCCAGTTTGGGTGCCCATGCGTCCTTTACCATTTGGATCAGCTGAATCACAGCGAAAAGCATACGAGTACGGATAACGAATCATTAACTTTTCTCACACTTTTAAAATAAGCAAAGATACGAAGGACTGCATATCCAGGTATCACACTATCAAGCTGAGATTGTTACTTTATATATTAATGTGTATATCAATACTAAAAAAAAATGTCTCACCTTCCACTTTAAGAGAGGCACAGCTGGAACATATCCCAGCAATGGCATAATAGGCTCCATTATCTCCCATTTTACAGTCTTTAACTCTCAGTGTGTGAATTAGCTTGTCTTCTGAGATGGTGATCTCATATTTGTCCCCATGTTCAAGGGATGAATCCTGTTTTGACCAGGTAATTCTGTTGAGGGGTGTTGACAAGACACACTGAAAGATGGCGTCCTCACTTTCCAAGGCCTTCACATCCTTAATCTTGGCTATGAACTCCACAGCAGGCACTGAGAGAGGAGGATGGAGGGTGTGGATTAACGGACTGAGGTCTCATTCCTGAATGTGCCTTGCATTGTCTCACCAACTGCCAGTATGACCATCCTGTTTTCTTACAGTTGCATTAGTTACATTGTACCTTGGAAGTCAGTTGCAAGGACATTTGCATCTTCAACATCGACCTGGTAAAACCCAGCATCTTCTGGCTGAGGATCTTTGATGCTGAAAACATATTTTGTCCCTGTTGTCTTAAGGCTATGCTTCAAATCTTCATCGTCCCCATATGGAACCATTGTCCCATCCTTTTCAGAGAGAAGTGCTTAGATTAGATTTTGTATTTCCTTTTCATTTGAACAGTGATTGGTTGTGAATAGTTTATCGTGTAATACATATTAACTCACCTTGTATAAGTTGATTGCACTGTTGGGGTCATGTAGTGTCATGTCGAGGCCAAACTCGGCTCTTCCATTTGGTTGTACTTCTATTTGTCTCACATTGTTCACTTGCTCTACAACCTGAAAAAGAGAAATGAAATATCCTGTGTATCTGTAGATTTTTCACTGCAGAAGCCATGACATTTCAACTTAAGCGGTCTTGAGCGGAGCATGGATATTTTCAAGATACATTACACTGGTATAGCCTCCGACAGACTAATCAAAACAAACCTCGGGGGAAAAAATCCCCAGTAACTTAATACCCCTTTGAAATGTTGTTTTTCAGACATCCAGTGATTTAACTTCTCATCTCTCTGCAGTGATGTGCAAGTGTACTCCTGTGACATCACTATTGGTAAATGGTAGCTAGCCCTTAGCTAGTCTTCCGACCACTCAAAACGCTTTAATGCTACATGTCGTCATTCACCCATTCACACCCACTGTGAGGGGCTACCATGCAATGATTCCACCTGCCCATCAGGCGTCTTAACTAGTCGTACACCGCAGGCACAGCTTGCGGGAGCAATTTGTGGTTAAGTGTCTTGCCCAAGGATAGATCGACATGGACTAGCAGAGCCGGGGTTCGAACCATCGATCCTCTGGTTGAAAGACGACCTTGCTCTACCACTGAGCACTGTCGCCCCATATTGGGGATGTGGTTACAGGTGCAACACACTTCTGACCACAACCAGAGGTGAAACAGGCTTGAAAATTGGGGAGAGAAGGCACTGAAACACTGCTTCACACACTGGTGTGGAATTAATCTTTAAAGTTACCAAAAAAAGTAAACTACAGCACAGTGAATCTCAGAGTAGGGTCCATGGCACCGTGTTCGTGAAAAGCTTTTAGATAATATAGTGCTGCAGGAATGAGTCCTAAAACTCCCGGTTTCCTTGTCTCAAAATCAATGTTTTCTTGAATGGGTTTTTGGTTAGATGACTGAAATAAGGTCTGCGGCTAAAACAAACGAAAGAGTTTTTAACATGTTGTTCTACTTCTTTTTTTTATTTTATTTTTTTCATAATTTTTTATTGAAAGACAAGAGACAATATTAGACAATACATAGACATAACAACAAGAGGATGACAAGAACAGTGGGATAAAAGCTAGCAAAAATCATATAGTCAGTGTGTGTGTATATGTGTGTGTGTGTGTGTGTGTGTGTGTGTGTGTGAATGTCCTTGAGCCTAAAAAACAACAAACCTCTACGGTTGCTCATGCAACCGTAGTGTAGTTCATTAATAGCCCATTTTTTTTTATCTCTATCTCCATTACTACCTGTACACACAACCAATCAGTACACACAACCAATCGGCCAAAGACACTGTGGGGGAAACAGTTTGCAATTGGGGGGAGTTAACCAATTGTGGGTTATATTCAGTCAATCACACAATAAAGCAGTGGTCGTTGCAGACACACCTGACGTCGATCTGCACTCTACTGCCTTTCTAGTTCTAGTCACTGCCAATTGCATTCACACTTCAATATGTACAATACATCATGAAAGTGCTGTTTAAGATTATCTTGCCGAACAAGTGTGAGAGGAGCATAAACTTGTGTTTGCCACAGAGCCTATTTTCTGCAAGTATCCGAAATCTAATGGAAAAATCCCATTCGATTTTTGTTGAGGGAACTGGTGCAACACTAACTTCTAGGGTTGGCCTAGAACAATATGTCATCCCAGCAACATTCTATTTATTAATATTAAAAATGTTGTGACTTTGCTTAAAACCTCACCAGCATTTCGCAGGTTCAAAATACATTGATTATTACAAACTGCATACAGTACAGTACCTTTGCCTGCTCATCTTTCCTTTCCTTTTTCAGCTGGTTGAGTCTCTTAAGCAACCAGCGGAAGTCGGTAACACCAAACTCAAAACAGATTTTTTCATAGTCCTTCTTTGGTGTGCAGATAAGCATTTCCATTAGCTTGGGATCAATTTCTCCCTCTTTTTTTGGTCGGAGTTGTTTTTTTTTGGTGACAACACTGAAAAGAGAATGATATATGTTTTTGGAGATCTACAGAAGTACATATTTAGAAAAACACTCTTGACTTGATCTTACGTTTTCTTGAGCATTTTTCTGAAATCTTGTGGTGGCTTTCCATTTGCACAAAGAGATGTGACTTTGAAGGAAAAAAATGAGATAGAGGTTTTCTTAATCGCAAATAACCCCACTATCATATTTGTTTACATTCTATATATGGTTCCATCTAAACGTTAACATGCAAAAACAACAATCCCTGGATCAAATTCATCTGTAAATATGTAAGTCTTGCTCTGCAATTGCAGGGATGTTTTTTGTTTTATTCCAGCATAGTATTTTACTATGTTCAAATTACATTATTGTTGTAGCTTCTGAGATTCAAATGCAAGATCATGAACTCTCTGTAACCCTAAAAAATAAATCAATGTATGGATGGCAGAAAGAGAAAACTTAAGCGTCTTCATAGGTCTGTTGTGAATGTCATACCTTCTTTGGCTTTCTTCTTGAAACCAACTGGGAAAAAAATCAAAACATGAAAACAATAGCAACACAAGAAATGATTAGTGAATAGTCACATCTCCAGTATATTACACTTTAATTTGATTCATTTACAATGAACATATGGCAGAGTAAGAATCTCATCTTCTACCTTCCATAACATTGAGAGTTGCAGTGCAGACAGCCATTCCATACTCATTGGTGGCAAAGCATTTGTAGGTGTCGGCTTGATCTGGATTAACATTGAGTATCTGGTGGAGCGATATTGTCAGAGTTAGATTACATCTTTAGTGCTGACTATTACGTTCTGTCTCACATTGTCATGATCAATCAGCTCTTTTAATTGAGTACTGTGAAGTTGAGAACAAAATAAATGAAGTGTACGTCATACTTTTAAACAATTCAATTAAAATATGCATATTTAATACAGGTCAGCAAGTGTGGGAGTACAGGAGAAAGGATTGGAATATAGGGATAAAACGTATAAGTTTGTGCTTTATGAGATGTGGAGCATTTTGTTTAGATACTGTTTTCTCACCTCTAGAATGTGCTCTTGAGCTCTGTCATCGTATCTGGTCTTGTATTTTTCTGGGTCATCGACCTCGCCTTTATTACGTCCCCATGTCACAGCTGGTGCCGGCTCTCCACTAACCATGGCTTTGAAAAATCCTTTTTTACCTGGAAAAATAAAAACACAGAAAGACTTGCGACAGTGATACAGTTATAGATAGTGTTTGATAACGTTGTTGTAATCAAAGTTTTACATGGGTTTTGTTATTTACCCTCCTGAGTAGTCATAGGCATTGGTTTCCGGGCAAAGTCGGGTCTTGACTTTCCTGCCGGCAGTATCTCAACATACTGAGTGATCATAACCCCGGGAACTCTGGACCTTTTCTTGATAGCCACTGTTAAGAGCAGAAAATAACAGTTAAACTCTGCTGTGTGATGTTGTTAATGTGTCAATCCTTAAGATTCAAGTCCTGGTTGATTTGGCGACACCCTATCTGCTGATGGTATCAGCAAATAGTGTTTAATCCTACAGGTCCTGTATACTGTTTTCATCATTCTGTGAGCGACCGTGATCTGATTGTTATGCTGCACACGGCATGAGTCTGCGAGCAGCGAAAGTAGTCGGTTACCTCGCTGAGAAGTCGGAGGTGTGCAGCCTGTCGCCTGCAGCTCTTCATCTAACAGCTCACTGTGGCTGCTCCTTCGTGTTCCATTATTCCCTGCAATATTTCAAACTGATCCGCTGTCAAAAATTGCCTAATATGATCTTTTATTTGTAGATGTGTTTTTGATAAATGACAGCGCTCAGTTTCCAGCTCACTGACACTCACATTGCATTCCCTCGTGACTACTGTGCTTCATAATAAAAGTCAACTCACATTTCGCCAGATAAATACTTTTAATGTGAAGCTGTACCCGAAGGAAATGTTTGATGCAATAATTATTTTTTGGGAATCAATACTGCAAATATATATACGTATATAAATATTGCAATACATTCATCAGTGGGCAATATAGGCTCAATCACCATTGTGTTACCTCATCCACGATAGCGTCTTAACAGACACGTTTTTAGAGGAAAATTTTAGAGTTTGCCACTTTAAAGCAAACATAACAAAGACAAAAGAAAGCATAAATATTATCAATGCTGTGTTCATTAGGTCAGGAGCTGTATTCAATATGCACACTGTTAACACATGCCTGAGCAAAACCATCGGATTGGATATGGTTACAAATATTTGATGAGCTGCAAAAGTACACATTAACATTATCTTAAATATCAGTTATACCCAAGATTTGAAAAAAGCATCATAAACAGATACTTTAGATGGGCGTTACACACATTACTAGTGCTTTTACTTTTGGCTGCAGTTTAGCTAGAACTTCACAAGAGGTCAGTATTTCCTTTCTGTTTGTCAACCATTGCAGCTGTCACATTAGCAAGGCCTTTTAACTCTTGAACTGTGCTAATGTATTTGGATGAAACTATGCATCTATTTTTGTCTCAAGGCAAACATGTACATCTCAAAAACACCCAAAAAGCTTTATTGTAATATATATATTCAAATAAACTAATATTTTCTATTATAAATCAAGTAAGTACATTATATTTATGACAAATGAAAATGAATGACGACACGGTGGATGTGCCATAATGTCAACTGCACTATCACCCATGGGACCATTAACAGATCCCTCCCGTGGTGGAAACGAGATATGGGTGACACATTTTGTCAACGTTATTCCTCTCTAGGATTTCAACCGTAGGATGACTCAGCATCCAACTGTAAATTCATCCAACAGCTGCTGAAATCAAAAACGCCAACCCACACTCAGTTACTCCTTTGTCTGCACCAGCATCACAGTAATGCTTCATTCACCCTGGTGCTTTAACATTTAACATGACTTTACTGCTGATCGTTGTCGGACCCTGGGAGGAGATGGCCGATGCTACGCAGTGATTGGCCAGTGTGTGTTTGAATATGGGATTTATCGACCGGTCAGTTTAGTTTTTGAAGGGATGTGACATAATCTGGTGAGTTAGAGGCCACTAAGGAGCCATTTATAGAAAATAAAGATATTCAGACCAAATACCAGCAATTACACTATTTTAACAACTTAATATGCCATTTCATTTGTGTTCAGTTTCAAGTGCTGTACCTACTTTTCAATAAAAACATGTTTGCCTCTTGATCAAGTTTCTACGATAGGCTCTTGTCAATGATTTGCCATTGATGACATACCGTAAACTCAAGGTTTGACTTATGATTTTACTACTTCTAATGTGTGCAACTTTTAGGTTGCCCATTCTTCATCACTTTTCCACAGCAGACCTTCTCCAGTTGGAGGGCATACATTGAATATGCATCAAGCCGTATGTGTCATCTCTCAGGGGATTGGTTTACGCTCTGACAGTATATCAACTGAATGCAGGCAGGATTCTTGCTCCTCGAGTATTGATTCACACATAATCCAAGTCTGGTAGGACAGCAGTCAGTTGTTTGCCTCTGCATACCAATCACTCCTGGAGGAAACTGTTAGATTTGGACACCAGCAGTATCCTGGACACTTTCAATATGAATTTGTTGGCTTTTTAAAGCAGATATCATTTCCATAAACCACTCTGAGTCACCAACACGAGGCCTCTAGAATGAGTGTGAAAGGTTGCAGGCACTCTCAGAGTGTTCATGGAGGTATAAAATGATATTAGTACACTTCTGGTCCTTCATATGTATTTGGGATAGACGTCACTCTATTTTAAGTACTAAAGAAGTGGTATTTCTGATGTCAAATGAAGTTCAAATACAAGTCTAACTATTTTGCTCTTCCTTCCTCTTCTGCAGTCATATTTTACAATTGTATTTAAGGCTTTGGAAAATTAAAGAAAAGCTTATTCTATTCAGCTGGATAGAAAAATGTATGTACATATTTTAAGTATTTGTGAAGGGCTTCAACTTAAAGGGGACATTTCACATTCTTGCTTGTATTTTGGGTTCCTAGAATATGTTAACAAGCCTCAATGTTCAAAAAACACTTAATGTTTCTCTTGCTGTCTTTTTGAAATGTACCTGTATTCACCCTCTGTCTAAAGCTCCCCTTGTTAGTGCTTGTTTCTTTTATTCCTTGTTCCTGAAAAAGCCCAGTGTGCTCAGATTGGCTTGCGAAAAAATATGGTGCACCTTTGCAAAAGTGGTTCTCAAGCTGTGAGTGGAGATACTCAGATGGGATGTGGGGGTATATCGTAATTAGCCTGCACTTAATAGGAAAGGGGGCCAAGTGTTATTTTATTTATTTATTTTTAATGCATTTTTCGGGTTTATTGCTTTTGTTTATTGCCTTTATTAGAGCAGCTGGAGAATGACAAATCCGATTGGCTTGTTGAATCTTAGGTTTTCTGATCATGGCAGCCCCTTAAAAACTGACTGGGTTCTCTCATGTCACAGTTTGTGGATTGGTAGGCACTGGCAGATACCAAAATGTTAGAGCACAAGCATAATAATTAATAATGATAAAATCATTTTCATCATGATCCTTTGTTGGTCAGGTTTATGCCGACATATTGATAATACAACAAGCTAGTTTATAACAACCACACCATATCTCCTTGTACAATGAACAGAATAAGTCCCTCACAACTTCCAAACTTACTCAAGGCTTTTGGGTCCTGGTTGGTTTCTGAAGTCATTGCGGTGACGCTGGTTGTTTGTCAACTCAGAGTTTTGATCTCTTTTGGCTGAAACACAAAGAAAAATCGTAAGAATTGTAAATACATCACTTTTCATTTTGTCGGTATGCAAAACCAAGTATATAAGTTTTCATTGTTTACAATTTTCATGGCCGACATTGAATTGTATCAAGACAAGTAATTCTTTGTATTTTGGGGTTTAATACTGACTGTACTCCAGAAAGTATTATGTCCAATTGTTATGTCCAAATCTTTCACATTTATGTTTGAATAAAATTTGAACAGTTAAAATGTCCCTGCTGCTAATATATTTGGAATAGTTACAGTGTTTTTCAGTCATACAAGAAAAAAATATATATGGTAAGATAATGAGATATGGCCAAAAAACAAACAAAACCTAAATAAAGCCGAATACAAACTTATTTTTTTTTAAAGAATTGGTTTATTTAAAAATAGGTCTATCATTATATGGCATATTTATGAAAATGTATGTTTCATTTATATAGTGTCGATGTTAATTCAGTAGTATTTATGTAATTCACATGGAGCTCCCCACATGATCACGAGAATACTCAAAGTCACATCAACTTGACCGTTAACGGTAACTGCTGGGGTCATGAGAACACGAGAAACCTCAAAACGGGGACATTGACCAGAAAGGGTTGAGAAACCCCGCCTCAGAGGTTCCCCTCATGTGTCGTCTATGTTACCGTATGGCGTCAGCCGGTCAAAGTGGGGATGCCTTGACCCCTACGTGATGTGAGCACACACAGTAAATGGGGAATGTGAAATTCCACCTAGTGGCTGACTCTGGCCATGCCTGCGGAGTCAAGTGCCTCAGGTCCAAACATAGACGGGGGCAGAATGTCTTCCAATCAAACTGTTAAGCCAACGCACATATCTGTAAATCTTTTTTTATGCCACCGACTCCAATTATGTTTTTCACAGTGAGGCGTCTAGTTGTTAACTACCAGCAGAAGACTGAAAATAAACTTTCAACTCAAACTGCGTGTGCTGAGCGATCATGTGGATTTGTTTTGTGTTGGATGGCCAGGAAGCACCGATTGGGTACTTGATTTATTAATTAAATAACAAACTCTCTCCAGAGAGTTATTGAGAGACAGATCTGTTTTAACCAATCTTATAGAACGATAGAGATGGCATAGACCTAATGTGACTGTCGCCCACAAGACCTCTAAGTCAACCAGTTGATGGCAATGACATAAAAACTGTTAATGGTCATTTTAATCTTAATGTTAGCTGAGTAATTTGTTTAGTATCTTCGGTGCTGAGGGGATTTCAATGAGAACTAAAAGGGGCTGTATATCAAGGTAATGGCCATAAGGCTTTTGGCCCTGTAAGGACCACAAGAGGAAAACTGAAAATCTGACAAAGAATATCCGACCTTGATCATCTACAAGTCAGCAAGATATTTACATTAAGGTTTTAATGTGTCACACAACCTGTAGTGTGAATACATCATAGTGTCCTGCTCAACCCTGTTGTTAGTCGTGGGAAGCCAGTGGGTAAGGGTACATTTGTGACTGAAATATGGTACACGGTTTAGATCTTTAACATCCGTATTACAGCATGATCTCAGGTCCATTCTTCTTTTTTGTTCTTTTACAGGGTATCAAAATTCGTCCGTTTCACTGAAGTCATTCTTGATATATAGCACAATAACATTTTAGGGTCTATTTTTATACCACTGTGCCTGTGGCAGTAGCAGCAGTAAAGTATATTTTGGCGGTTCTTGTTGTTATGGCCCACGTTAGTGATGTTATGCTAACATTCCAGCCGTACCATTTTTAACGGATATATAAAATACCCCATGTCTTTGTCTGCAGGTCATTAAATAGAAAAATAAAAAAAACATTTCAAAATGCTAATCTGCTCATCTTTTCTTGTCAACAGGATTCGTAGATTTTTGCAGAATCAAATACTTTGACAGCCATAAACCCAATCTAATGCTCATCTATGATAAACAGATCATTGTACTTATCTTTTTGATGATGATGTACTAAACACCCACCTGATCACTTATAGCACTATGTATCTTAAAGTAAACTGTCACAAATTAAAAAAAGATTGAAGAATGTAGCTAGTCCGTACTGTGTTCCTGTCTCTCTCAACAAATGCTGCCTTTCTGTGATCCCATATTTAGATAATCATACAGTACCTCTTGTTGACCAAAACCGTCCTGCATGAGGCTACACCATGTAAGATGCTGTTGTTTCGTTTGGTCAGGATATTAATTCGAAGAAAATTATTGACACAAGAAATTTGGTACAATAAATAAAAATCTGACTTACTTTCAGTTCTTCGTCTACGTTCCGCTATCTGTCTTCAGCTTGTGAACTCTTCTCACTGTCCAATATTTCGGAGGTGACACCCCTTTCTGTTCGGTGATAAAAGTTTGGGGCGCATAAAAACCCATACATGGGTGAAATGTAGTTGCTAAAAACCCATATTACAGCAGTGATAAAGGGCGGAGGTTCGTCTTACTTATCCCTATGAAAGCGATCACTTTGCAGTTCGCACTGGAAATACATTATGACTGTTCATTTAATCTTGTATTGGACATATGCAGTCAACGGTTTTCCACCATTACTGTTGGCAGTATAAAAACACCAGGTGCATCAGATACCTATATCAACATTCACACTTAAAACTATTACGAATTAGTGACAGATATTGCTGTACATAAGTGGTTGATGGTGAAGGCTTCATGATTTATGGATCCACAACAGCCATGCAAGACTCAATGCCTCCAACCAAAAAACTGTCAACTGGCAGCTTCACAAGCTCTCTTGTAAGAGGATCGCTGTACTATGGACTTCATTGGCCAATAAACATTTACTCAAGACATTTTATTTGGTAAAATAATCTCTGGTTGATATGAATGAATTGGCCGTTCCAATTAGCCTCCAAAAGTATCCCACAGCGTGCCTGTGGTGTTGGGTGCATGCGTCACACTGGACCTCTGGTAGCATTATAAAAAGATGGTTGTTGATGGTGTGCTGGGGTGATGGACTCGTTGCACTGAGCGGGCTTTGGGGTTCACATTGTCAGAGGTTAAACAAGCATGACTTATCCAGACAGTTTGAACAGTAACCCCGACCTCGTAAAAGAGACTGTGGCGTCACTGCATTAAAACCTGATGACACTTGTGGAGAATAAACACAAATATGGCCTCTGTCCTTACCTTCAGGAAACAAGGTAAGGACATAAAAAAACTGCACTTAATATTATCGAAAGAACAATATTGCATTATATTGCTCTTATCATTGAGTGTGTTTCCATCAGAGAAAATAGGCGTCTTGGCTGTATGTGTTGAGTCAAAAGGTCTTCTCCAGCAGTGACCCTATGTTTTATAGTTGTCACATTATGTACAGTATGGACTTTATTTGTGTTGGCCTTGTAAGTATGTAATGTGAATGAGTGTATGTAGGAGTGTTTCACATGCGAGTCGGTAAACGGTGCTAACGGGGAAAGCTCCCCCTGTAACGGTTATTTGACTGTAGATATAAAAATGACTCATTTAAGGTTTGCAGCTGAGGATCTTGTTACAGACAATTTACTGGGAGGCTCAGCTGGATATATATGTATGGAAATGCAATGAAAATGTGGACCAGGTTCATAAGGGCTTAATGTGATGTGCATGATGTTGTGGACTCAGATATTGGAGACATGTGCAAACATATGCTGGAAACATCTGTTGCTTTAACGACAGCCACCAAGTTTGTTTTTGTCAGTGAAGTTAGTGAAGAATATATGCAAAGTTATTGATAAAGGAATAACAAAACAAGACCAAAAAGAAAGCTACACGCTTGTCAGTTTCAGGATTTATTGGAGTTGCCACAATAGATTTTGACAGATGTCTTTGCACTTTAGTGTGTCACTTCACTTGTGCTATTATTTCTGATGATGGAGTAACAATTGTAAATTGTCACATTTCAAATATATTAATGCAGTCTATATAGTGAAACAAAAAGCATTCCCCTTCCAGAATATGTCGGTATGAGGAGAGGCTGCTTCACGTCTTCACGTCATTTCAATCTGTTGAGAAAAAGTAGAGAGAAGAATAATCATTACAAGCATGAACCAAACCGGATCATTCTGAAACCATCCCAATTCTAAAGTTGAATCTTACCTCTAACAATGAGTTTAGTGGAACACTCTGCCTGGCCAAAAGAGTTGACTGCAACAACTTTACAGACGCCGCTGTCTTTTGACCGGACTCTGAGAATGTACATGGAGCACACACCAAATGAGTTGGTGATGTAGTAGTTGTTGTCGAAGTTGATGCAGACGTCGTTCAGGTACCAGGATACAGTGGGCGTAGGGCATCCCCGGACAGCGCATGTCATGTACAGTTTGTAACCTTTAGGCGGTGTGTGGACTTTCAGAGGCACCAAGATGGACGGAGGCCTCTCGAAGCTGACCCCTGATGATGATTTACCTCCATTTGAAGGGATTGGAACTTAATAGGGAAAAAAATAAAATCAAGGTTTGAAAACGTCATTTAGGTCACATTATAATGTTAGCGAAAATAACAAGTGCTGCTGAGGGTAGTGGGAATGCTGTTAGTTTGACAAATATACATTTTGACCTGATGATTGTGCTATCTTAAAAATCCGGGTACAGCTAAAGTACTCACGATGCATCGGCTAGGAACCAATAATACTATGTACCAAATGTTGCACCGATCCATGAAGTAGAAGTGGAGATATTTTACCAGGTAATTAAAAACCTTGACTGTACTGATCTTTGGACCGACCAGCGTTGCCATCCTTAGAGCCCTTTTTTTTACATAGCCTACTAGCAGGGCTAAAATTGGTGTTGGGGCTCCGTCCAAAACACATTTACTCCAAATTTGGACTGTAACCACCGCTGATATATTCAATTTCAACAGTTGGGCAAGTTATTAGTGTACTTGGGCAGTTAGGGAGCATGTACAGTACTGTAGCTAAAATGTTACTAAGGGAGTAATAGGGGAACAGACAACTTCAGAATTGTTGAGATGGTGTAATTGTTCGGTAGTCTGGCGAGTTTTATGGTTACTAAAGAAGTTATATCATGGAAATGGACAGAAGCTGGAATATTCAACTATCATCAGGGCACAACATTTAGCGCTTGCCCGGGGCAAGTAAACTCCTTATTAGGGATCGGATGATATTCAGTAAAAATATGCGATTGGGAGATTGCCAATCCCTGATAAGGCTACATTGTGAACAACCAATCGGTGATGAAATGTGTAGAAGGAGAGCTAGGTAACATTAGCTGTAGCAGCCGGTGAGCAGCAAACGTTAACAGAGGTTTGATTGACTTACATTATCATGCGTTCAAGCTCTATTCAGTAAAAATGGCTATTGGTTAAAAGCAAATTATAACATTATTATGATATGTTTCAATCTTATCTCGAGAACAAACAGAGTTAGGGATTGTTGGAACAGTAGAAAGACTAACCAAGACAGGTTGATGAGTTTTATTTTGTTTCTGTCGAGTTTAAAAAGAGTGCTTTTTACAATCGAGTCTTGTTGTCATTTGGAAAAAATTGTAATTTTTTTCCAAATGGATATTTATGAACTTTTCGATAAGCCTACATTTTCCATCTCGGATAAGTTTGGGCAAGTACAACATCTGAACCGCATCAAAAAGCTTAATGTCGAGCCCTGATCATTGATGTCAGCTATTGCACATGGAATCATAGCTCATGCCTACTTGAAACAGATGAGCTCTAATCAATGATATAATGTTATTGGCCATGATGATTCAATATTCCTTTTATAGCACAGAGTACACAACATTCTTACAAACACATTACACTTTAAATTGTCAGCCGCATGTGCAGTGCATGGTGGTTTATTGTAATAACTAAACATGAACAACTGTAGTAACCCACCTCTGTTGCTGTTGGCCCCCCATGTAGGTGACTGAGATGGATCTGAGAGGCCCATATCATTCTTGGCGTAGATCCGGAAATGGTACTCTACCCCAGGAAGGAGGTTGTTGACTGTGTATGTGTTAGCAAAGAGGCGGTCTGCTACATTCTTCCACACTCTGGTGTTGGAGTTGCATTGAGACACCACGTAGTAAAGGCGGTCGTCGAGCTGCTGGTCTGGAGAAGGAGCCCATGATACCGCCACTTTGCCGTAGACTGTTTGCTCCAGCTCCACTGGCCCTGGAGTTCTGGGTTCATCTAGCAAATATGATAAGATGCACAGCGTGTTAGAGAGGACAAAATCAATCGCTCAACATTGGTCCTGTTTTCCCTCTTTTTTTTTAGAAGCTATTTTCCTTAATTTCTTTGCACTGTGGCTGCTTTAAAACCTTACATAATGTCCCCATACTTGAGAGGCCTTTCATCCCTCTGTGGGTTTTGGTCGGGATTACATTTGCGTTTGTTAAGTTAATCACATCTTATTAGTGCATGTTACACTGTAAGAATTATGTTTGTCATTCCATTAAAAAGTTGTTCACGCTAATTAGGGTTTGACATTCGGATGCCAATACATTGGTGTGTCATTGGTATTTAATTGGATAAATATTACCCAATTAATATCGTCGAGTGTCAATATTAATGATGTTCTCTTCTGGCCGGTGGAACACAATTCAAGCAATTCAATTATTTCTCATTGCAACAAGTTAATTCTTCATTTAAAGGAGAGGATTGTCGAACTAACTTCATCATTCTACACAGAACTGTACAGCTTTCTCATTTTAAAAACAGCTATATTGTACATACTACAATGAAATGTACATTTCTTTTAGAAGTAGTATTTATTTTCTTTGTCCAATTTTTATTGTAATTTTTCTGTTCTTTTCTGTTGTTGACTTTTGCAGTAATTTTCCTGTATTTTTATTTCCTCTTAATGTTTAAATATGATATGCAGGAAACACCAAGGCAAATTCCTTGTAAGTGAATAACTTTACAAAAAAAACGTATTCTGATTCTTATGCAGATAATATCAGAACAAAATAATTGTAGTTTCAGTACAAAAATATCACAACTTGTTCCACAACATTTCTGCGCTCATCATAGTACATTATAGTTTGTCCTTACCTGTGACTCTAACCACAATGTCAAATGAAGCCTCACCCACGGAGTTTTTGGCTTTAATCGTGTAAATGGCTGAATCTGAGCACTTTGATGAGGGGATAACAAGCTGAGACATTCCCTCTGTAGTGATGATATTAATCCACGGGGATATTGGCTCATCATCCTTCAGCCAAGTGATCTGAGGTGGAGGTTCAGCCTGAAGATATCGCGTAAATGAGATAAAGTCACACTGTAAGAAACTCATCACTCAAGAATATGACATGGCTGGAATGGGGGAATGAAATGTGAAATGCACTGACTTGAAAATATTCAGTATTCACACCATGGAAGAATGTCTCAGCCTTTAGGCTTACCTCATAGCAAATTTTGACACGTGCTGAATTTCCTGCTCTGACAACAATGAAGTCCACTGGGTCTTTAAAACAAGGTCTCACTGGAAGAAAACACACGAAACATGAATGCAGACGGGGAGCAAACATTGCTCGGGATAACAAAGTTAAATTATTAATACGCACAACGGAGGAAGTTAAACTGCTTACTGTTGGGATTCTTTGCACACACCATTACAGAGGGAGGGCTTGGGTCTCCTGCTCCGGACTCATTAATCGCTGAAACCCTGAACTCATACTCTGCTCCATCAGTGACCTCTTTAACTGCGTAGTTCACGTCTGACAATGAAATTCAAAGCATTTCAGGAAAAAGACATGATGAAAAAGAAACATATTTCCCCTCAATTTAAACACCATTGCATGTGTTTCTGACAAACCTTCAATCGGTTCATTGAGTGCATTGAGTGCGATCCACTGGTTTGTGTCCTTCTTTCGTTTCTCCAATTGGTAACCAATTATCGGTACTCCTCTGTCGTCCTCTGGGGGGGTCCAGGTCAAGTTGATGCAGGTTTTAGAGGCACTCACGACTGTGGGGGCGCCAGGTGGACCGGAGAGGACTAAGGAATGACAAATAGTCTAATTAATTGAGTAAGCTCATTATTAATAGTTAAGAGGTGATTAAAGCATGGAATAAACCCAGGACATGATACCACTGCAGGATATTGCAAACCATTCCTAAAAGGTAGGTTTTCTACAGTGACTAAATAGTGCTGGTGACAAACGATTTGAAGCAATCACAAAACTATCCAGAAGCATTTTTCATTTAATACAACCTGAGAGAGATTAACTTGGGATTTGCTGAGGGATGCCAAATGAGACTTCCTTTTTTCTGCACTTACTCATTATGCCAGCCATAATGCTATCAGCTGTCTCCAGGGTGTCGCTGAGGCCCTCTGGGTTTTCTGCGTAGATGCGGTAGTTGTATTTCTTTCCATGAGTCACATTCCTGTCCCTGATGGAGGTCGTCTGGTCAGCGGAGACATCCCCGAGCTTCGTCCACAGAGCTTGTCCTGCCTGCTGCCGTTCTATAATGTAGTTGGTGACGGCGGAGCCGCCGTCGTCGTCTTTGGGAGGGTTCCATTTAATCTCAATTAAAGTTGAGGTTGTTTTAACAGTCTCGACTGGACCCTCCGGAGGACCTGGCCGATCTATCACAAAAACGCTGTGTTACATTTCAAATGTAGAGATATAAATGTGATGCTTAGTAAGGTGATGGTTGTGTTTATGTATGAACGTGGCTCTGAGTGGAGGGGTAAACTAATACTAAACATCTTTTTATCTCTCAGTATTTCTAACTTTTCTTTTTTTTTCCTACCAAGTACAATAAGCTTAGATGTGGCCTCCACGGCCCCAACTGGGTTTTTGAGTTGGATCTTTATTTCCCCTGCGTCTGTCCGCAGGCAGTCTCTGAGCAGCAGCCGGCTGTGATTGGGCTCCCTCACGATCTTAACTCCTCCTCCGTCTTTGAGCTCAGTGTCGTCCTTGAACCAACTGACCACCAAAGACTCCTGAGGAGGAAAGGGCATCTTGAAAGCAGCATTCTGGCCAACTCGTATAATCACAGGTTTGGAGAACTTGTGAAGATCGTCTGGGTCAAATTCAGGTACACCTGTGAAACACAAAGTGTAATTCAGTGTAATGCACAGAGACTGTAGTGGCATTTAATATGTTCCACAACAGAGGGGAGTAAATCATACCTCCGATAGTGACCTTTCCTTGTGTGCTCTGATCCCCTGACGCAAAGCGATAAACTCCAGAGTCGTCGTCTTTGCAGCTTTGAATTGTCAGCTTGTGAGAGGATCCATCTTTGGTTATGGTGACTCCAGCACCTGAGTTCAACTAGCAAATCAAATGTTAATGGGAGATTATACTTGCATTGCATTACTACATTTGCAAAATGACAAAACCTCTCACCTAAAGATGCAAGACTATTGGTTATTTTGTACTTCTTAATTTGTAATTTCTAATGCTGAAAACTTAGTAATTCTCTTACATTTACTCTCCCAATTTACTCTAATTGTAAAATGTACATATTGTAAGTATGTTGATTGATGGAGCCTTACCTGCTCTCCGTCTGTGAACCAGGTGCTGTCGCAGTCCATGTTCATCTTCACCATTAACTCAGCCGGATTTCCATGAAGAACATAAATATCGGAAAGTCCACAGCTAATTCCAGGCTCTGGGCAACATGAAGCAAACTTACTCACTGCTTTGCACCTTCATGTGCAGCATCTTCCAGTTAAGGACTATATGTATGCTCAATAAAAGTACACAATAACAAATCAATTACCTACCCAAATGCTTTTAATCTCTACTCATTAAGATTCATTAATTGGACTTTTAGTATTCGATATCTGGCATCCCACCTCGTGCATCTGCAAGTGGTGGATCAAGCCTTTCACAGCAGCTAACGGCTTCCTCAGCTGATTGGCAATTGGCTGAACAGCAATGAAAACAGCAAGTCATTTAAACTTGATTTAGTAAATTACTCCCTTAAGTTGATATGCTCCTTGGTGTCGCACTTACCACGTCCTGAGTCTGCAGCTGCTGCTGTTGATGATTGGACTGAATGACCTATCAGTGATCACGGACAGTATGAAAACAGTTGAGATTTTTTATTTTTTATTTCTGATGAAGGGTCATATAGTCTTTGGGATGTTTTAGTGCATTTATTTTACAACTCACGTGTACTTAATATTTAACCATTTTCCAAAGTATGCCATAGTGTTGTACCTTTTTAAAATGTCTTTAGGGTTGTGGAGTGGGAGGAGTCTGGGTTTTCCATTGGAACGCTGCATTTGAAATTTTTCTAAACTTTAACTTTTTAATGAAAACTTAAATTGTTCTCAATGCTCTCCTGGGTGTTTTAGTTGCCAACTGCCAACTTCACCGGTCACAGCCTTTACCGTTACTGTAGTTTCATTCTGAATCATGCTGCTTTGCATTTCAACAATATTGCCAGTTTTGAACATACAGCAATGAAACAGAATCAGCTCCACTCATTTTGGCTTTTCTTTTAAAACAGCAGTGGTGGACGGCGGCAATTAAACGGATTAATTGGCGCAGATAGGATGCTTTTCAAACTATTGTTATCGATGGACCTGGGCTCCGGCACTCGGAGCGCTCCAGCCATAAATGGATGTCAGACTTTGAATTATGTTTTCAATGTAGAGTAAAATGGATTTGGTGAATGGACCCTCATTTATATAGATACAATATATAGATATACACGATACAAGACAGTTAAACAGGGAGAAAAGAAATCATTCAACTGTTACTTTATCTTACCACTTTAACTTTTTCTCTTCCAAATAATAAAGCCACAAAACTATCATGAAATGAAATCGCACACTTTAGGATTCTGCTTACCAGATTAATGTAAACTATTTATTTTTGTATTTATTACTTTGAGTTTGATGTTCAGATTTTGTTCATTCAGATTGATTTTTTTTTTTTGCTACAAATATATATATATATATATATATATATTGCATTTTCGGTAGTTTTAACTTTTTTGTTGAAAAAGCGTACAGTCCAAATATTTGGACTGTACTTTAGAGAAGTAATCAATTTAAAGACCATGTCTCTATTATTAACTGTTCCAACCAGTCTGCACATGCAAAGACACGAAAGCGATCACAGCATTAACATCAGACCAGACGTAACACTGAGATGGATCAGGCAAGTTTCAAATCTCTGCAAGATGACTTATTGTATATATGGCAGTGAAATGTCTGCTTTCTCAATGGTGGAAAACAATCAAAAATCTAAAAAGAATTCTGGCATGCTTTGAAAAATGTGCGATTTGTATAAAAATGGGCTAAAACATGCAGATGAGAGTAAGTTGTGGACAGGTGTAACGAATTTACTTTCATTCATTTTCATGTCTCTAAATCACATTGCCATGCTTTCTGACAGCGTGGATAGAGATGATTCCTCGGTCACGTTTAAGTACTAAATTCAATTTGTTTTGCATATTTCAGTACAAGACATCAAGGACAAAAACACTAAACTGACATTTAAGCAGTCAGCAAGGTGCAGACCACAGTACATGGCTGTGTAGAAGCATGGCAACCTGTCAACCTTACAATATACAAGGCAAATACTATTAAGCAAAACCCGACATTAAGGCTTTATTCACACAAAATCAGGCACGGCGGCAGAAAAGCCAGTCCTTCCATTCAATTGAATGTGTGTAGTGCGTATAAACTGCGTGTGTCACTGGGGATTGCAGGGGGTGGAAAAAAAATCAATCCTGTGTTGAAAAGTTGTATCAACTTTTGGAGAAACGCAATGTGATGTATTGGGTTGATGCAGCGTAAAGAGGCAGCCAATCACACAATGAGCTGACAACACAACATAGAATGAAGCCAAAACATTACAGTAACAACATTTTTGATGCAGTTTCTTTTTTTATCAAAGTATATCAGGATAAAGAGAGTTATTACTGAACCCATTATATTTCATATAGCTGTCATATTCACCTTAGAAGGCATGCAGAGGTTGTCACAACAATTCAAGTTTCTTACCAGTTCTTCCTACCTCCACAACAGGTGGATCCGCCGCTGCTGCTGGTTCGCTTACAATTCCTAACAACCATTAAAAGTAGTTAGTGGTTACCATTTCAACAAAATATCACGCCAAGTCATTTATGCAATTTTTTTCAAATATTGTAATTATCAACTTTCCCCCAAACCATTGCAGTTACTGAAATTATTTGACTTAATTTATCATACTGTTAATACTGTTGCTGCCTATGCTACCATTTTTGCAAAGTTCAAATAATTCAATCAAGAAAGATGTAAAAGAAATAACAAAGAGAATCACATAGATAGATATTCATGTCGAGAACTACAGTTTTGATTATCACATTCGTATTATTCTGAACTAAAGTTGAAGAGTTTCCAATGCAGCTTCGTTGTTTGTTGAATTGAAAACGCTGTTTCATAAACACCATGGTCGGCATTCTTACTTGGCTCAGCGTCTATCGGTGCCTTAGGTTCAGCCTTAGCGGGTGCAGGAGCTGGAGGAGATTCAGGTGGAGGTGCAGCTGGCGCAGCTTTAATCTGTTCTATTCTTTCTTCTCTCTCCTTCACTAATTTTACTTGCTGCTCTTCGGCAACCTTCTGCAGATCCATCCCAGATCCTCCTGCCCTTGTGGTTTTCCTTGCTGTTTTTTTGCCCTTTTGTGCATTTTTATCAGCTGAATTGGAAAAAAAAAAAGAATTGGTAAAAATAAATTGGGCACGTTTTTCTTTCCCATTATTATTCCATGAGAAATCATCGTCATTAATCATTATTCAATAATATAGATTAGCGTTCGGGTGGAGTATAATATCTTACCTTCAACAACAAGCCATGCATTACAAGATTTGATTCCTGCGCAGGCGGAGTAAATTCCTTTGTCTACTATCAAGCAGTCTTTGACCACCAGCCTGTGGATGAGCTTGTCCTCAGAAACCTGGATATCATATTTATCGTCTTGTTCCAGCGGTAAATTCTTGCCAAACCACAAAATCTTGGAAAAGGGATTGGACAGGACACACTCAAAAACAGCATCTTCTCTCTCTATTGCCTTCACTTCCTGAATCTTCACCAAGAATTCCACCATGGGGACTGAAAAAAAACAAGCACTGCATTTTAGATTCAAATTGATGCTATATTTACACTTCAGAATTAGGGCTATTTTGTTTTAAGCATCCAAAAAATGATCTTCCTTTGCTTTAATTGGGGATCCAAAATAGTTGTGTGTGCAAGTGTGACTTACTTTTAAATTCAGTGGAAAACATATTCACATTCCCCACATCCAATTGGTACAGTCCAGCATCGTCTGGCATAAGGTCCCTCAAACTGAAAATGTACTTTTTCCCCACTTTATTAAGAGTGTGCTTCATCTTATCTCCCAACTCCTTTGTATATGGAACCATTACACCATCCTGCGGGGACAATAATGTAAATGACTTTTGGTATGCTTCAAATTGTGCCTGCAAAATATAGCAGCAAGAAAATAGCCATAAACTCAACATTGATGGTTATGTTTTTAATCTCTTAGAAACATGATAAAGCATCTCAGAGGTGTGAGTTAACAAGTAGATGGGCCCAATGATGCTGATCCATCTGTCCATACTCCAGAAATCTTGGTGCATATTTACAAGAACTGGACAGATTGCGATTAAATTAATTAATGATAAGGGTGCCTATAGGATGATTCCTGTTGATTTATGTGGGTAACTTCCTTATCTTTAATGTGGTAAGGCTGCTATGACAGTTATCATCTTGTTTTCACACTAACCTTGTACAGGAATATAGAGCTGCTTTGTTCAATAAGGTCCATCTCAAGCTCAAAGGATGCAGTGCCATCTCCATTGACTTTTATGTGTCTCAGGTTGGACAGGTTGCTCACAAACTAGGACAAAAACGGAATAAGACATAAGTATTGTTACAGAATTGCCTATTTTTACGAGTCATTAAACATTTCTTTTAATGTAGCTAAGCAGCTTCAAATCTCATAATCAGAAAAGGCAATCATATCATAATGAGAACATCCCAAATGGCAAACCTCAGCTTGTTCTTCCTGCCTTTCTTTCTTCATTAGATTAAGTTTCTTTAGCATCACACGAAAGTCGGTCACTCCAAACTGGGCACAAATGCTCTCATAGTCTTTCTTGTCGGCGCTGATTAAGAGCTCCCAAAATTTAGGATCGATCTCTCCGTCTTTTTTCTCAGGTTGCTCAGATTTCGGCCGGATCTTACTGGAAATTAAAAAAAGGGAGCATTTAGTTGAAGGACAACAGAAACCTTTTGGAACACGGAAGCTGTCAACACTTGTAACACAACCCCACCTTCTCCTTTTTAGTACGGTCTTAAAATTCCCATCGGGGGCTTCAGCTGCTTCTTGCGGGGCTTTGTTCTTTTTGAAACCAACTGAAAGCAGAAAAGAGGGTACTCACATTATTAGTACAATCATGTAATTAAACAGACAAGATGGACTGCAGAGTGATAAGTTCAAGGGTATGAAGTGGGACAATTTCTAATTGGGATCCAAAGGTACTTAATTTGAAGTATATTTGGGAAGGCTTGAGTCTACATGTTTCAGATTAAATGACTCTGCATGATATTACTTAAATGTATTTGTCATATCCATAGCAAGCAGACAGTCCTTACCTGCAATCACGTTGAGAACAACCGTGACCACGGCTTGTCCATATTCATTCATGGCAAAGCATTTATAGGTATCGGCTTGATCTGGCATGACATTTGGCATCTGGAAGACATGAGACATGCTCAGTAAAATGGATCCAGTGGGTGAAATAGTTGGCTTTGTCAATAAGTATCAGTTTTTCCCAAACGTTTTTAGTCTTGTGTTATACACCGACACAGAGCTATCAGATACATTAATCAAGTACACATTAATCAACGCCTTTTTTCAGTCCTAATTTATTTTTTCTGGTTCCATTTGTACTTTTTTCAATTTTAAGTTGAAGAAGCTGTATTGTTCAACCATTTAACCACTTCCTTTAGAAAACTATTCAACTTCTCTGCTCCCTTGCTAACTAGTTTTTATGCCCTCACAATCACTCTCTATCATGTGGTGTTAAGGTGTTAACCAAGAATGGACAGATTCTTACATGTTCATTAATCCAATGGGCAGTTCAGAACCAGTGTGTTGCATATGTTTAACATGGAGATGATTACAGGGGGTATGTGAAGCGCCACTACGTGAAAAAGCGTATGCATTAATTATAATTTATCCTGTTCAATTTAAAATCTGACAATAAATATTGTTGAGATATTATTCAATTGAACTTTCTTTATTTGATTTGACTGTCAGTTGTTGACTACATACAGACGTTAATACAACTGCTAGGTTACTTTAGTATACATGGCACTAAATCAGAGCGCAAGTTAGACATTACCGTGACGTTCCGGACCTTTGCATGAGGAAATTCTCTCCGACTGGACCTCGTTGAATTTTAATTGAATACCCCTGCACTATGGTATTACCCCTGTTTGGGATCACAGCTATACTGTATCCAATGAATAGTGATATAATACATATCCCAATGTGACATCTTGCACTAGACAGACCAATTTGATTGAAATATACTACAATTTCCAGTCCTTTTTAATTTACATTGACTGGATATGTTGGTGGACGTGTTCAGTCCGTTTGATGAAACTGACGTTGGAGTGTGCTCCTCCCAAGATCAGTTAAATCACCTTTTTGTAGAAAATGTAATTGGAAAAGCAAACTGATGGGTCAGAAGGCGGACTGACATTGATATTATGAAATGGCTTTTTTTCTCCTGTGAATTAATCTATTTTTCTCTGGGCTATTTTTACCGCTCCCTTGCATCATCATGTTGCTGTATAGTATCACTGCCATTTGATAGCCCCTTTTCGCTTGCCTCAAATGTATGCTCATTGGAATTGGGATCGTATTTAGTCTGATATCTCGACACATCAGATACATCTCCATTATTTCTGCGCCATGTTACGGTCGGCTGTGGGTCTCCAGTGACAATCGCTTTAAAAAAAGCAAATTTTCCTGTAAAAAGAAAAAAGGAAAGACAAGGTCACCCCACAGTGGATCATTTGTCTTATGCAAAATGATACCAACACAGATTTTGATAATCGTATCACTTTTCCAGACTTTAAATTGAAGCCAGTGTGTGTTTTAATTCTATCTGACTAGCACAGGGGTTTGGGTGTTTAATGAAAGTACTCTGCTCCTGCTGGCTCATTGCACCAAAGTCATGGATCGAATCCATTATGCAGAATCATGGAAACTCCACCATAGAACATTTTGTGATTTAAAATGATTCTCATGCTATTCGACCTACCCTCTTGGATGGTCAAAGCAATCGGCTTGCGGGTGAAGTCTGGATGGCTCTTTCCCTCTGGCAGCTCCTCGATAAACTGCGTAATCATCACCCCGGGGACTCTCGATTTCTTCTTTATCCCCACTGTCGGCATTAGGAGAAGAAATGTCAGTGACAACACATTTGACAGTTGACTAGAGAAGAGAATGAAAAATGTACCATCAAAATCTGTTGTTGTTTTGTAATCAACTCATCACCCTCATAAAACCATGCTGAAACACATTCTAATACATGATATATTAAAATGTTTAATGTTACTCACTTCATCAGTTATCACTCAGAGCTGTGTGTTTGTGGCTCTGGTGTATAGAAGTCTCGCTTTGTGTCACATTGTTCACGACATTTACATTTCAAAATCTTTATCCTGTTGACCTTTTTTTGTTTTTCTTCTTCTTGGGAGTCCATGCCTAACGTTCAACCTGAGAACAGATATGCAGTGATGCACCTACATATCTACGCACAAATCATATGTACGCTCAAACAGTGTATTAATAAACCGATCGGTTCGTCATGCCTTCGTGAGCAGTCGGGAGGGGAAAAAAAGATAGCTGATGACGAGTTCTCTGTTGTCCGCTAAGCCTACCTTCTTTACCATTCTCTGCAGCGGGATCTGATAAGGCACATGTTAAAGAGCATATACAGCACGTCAGCATGGTTCTAACATTTGATTAATGAAACTCAGGGACAGGAAATAAAATACAAACAGAGAGCAGCATTTGACACAGCCCACGTAAAACTGAAATGTTTTCAGCAGTTTTTTTCTCTATATCAGGTTGCAGCTATATACAATGGGGTATATGTATTGTGACATATCAATGCAAAAAACACACATATCAAAATGGATATCTGATTCTCATCTTCAGATGCGGAGGAGCGCTAACCCGGTAAAGTTCATCTGCTCCTTAGTGTGCAGTGTTATGATCAGTGTGCTATATATGTTTACTTTATGAGCTCCTGTTGACCTTTAACAGACATGCATGCACTCTTGTACAATCTAAATATGGTTGCTAATGTACAAATTGCAGCCTTGAACTTTCTGCGTAAAGTCAGATTTTAGTAGCATCACTGGGAAAGGCAGCTGAAGTCTTTGTAGGTAAGATGTAACCTTTATAATAGCAAGTATTCAACCATTCAATGCAGACAGTTATTAGATACAGGCTATTCACAATTTCCTAAAGATTTATTCACAAATAGTCTCCTTGCCAACCTCATTCTATCAATTCTGATAGACTCTGATCTGGAAATGTGTCATCTTATTACTTTGTCAGAGTCTGTCAAGGAGATCAAACTCACTTGTCACATCTGTGTTTTTAATTGATCTTCAGAGTTTGGAGGTAAAACAAAACCAAACAGAAGTAAACGTGATATAGGACGTTCCTTCTGTAGTAAATTAGCCCCTGCTTGAGTGCGTACCTTGGCCGGTGGCTGTCCCACCCGTCACTTTTATTCTTCTAAACATCTTGGCTCCTTTGATTCCTTGATGGATTCAGCAAGATTTCCCCAACTGCAATAGAGAATGGAAGGGATCTCGTCAAATAACAGAGTGGGACCGAATGTCTTGCGTATTTTCTCAGTGAAGTTCCTGAAGAGACTGAATATTTGATTGTTTTAAATCAATTCAAAAGTAAGAAAGTTAAAGCTTCTCCAGGCACATACGTTATACAATGAAACAAAAGTAAAACCAGATATGGCAGCAAATGTGTTGACTGTCACAGATGCTTTTTATTTTAAAAGAAAGCTCTCCCCAAACTTCACCTTTGGCCACGAATAACTGCAGTAAAAGACTCAAAACATGATCATCTGTGGGTCCCTGCCATGCAGCTGCTTGCTGTATCTTGAGTGTTATCACATTCCCTAGATTAAAAACCTCTTAAAATTAGACCTGGAGTGTATAATTACATCAACCTCATGCTGTAATTTCTTAGCAGGTTTTACATTTCAATATGCAAGGCTTTTGTCAATTTAAGCTGCAGCAGCCTGGCGTGATGTTCAAATGATCACATGCTTATCAAGTGAACATTTTTTATGATCTGTCGGATCAAGTCGCAGCGGGATCTCTACTAGTACCTAGCAATCTTTCATTACCTACATGGTTGCTAAACTTAGAATAATGAATGTCACTTCACTAAAATAGGCTGATGGAACATTAATTGTGGTGGAGTAAGTGTTGCTAATCGCTTAAGTGGATTTACAGACATGTTACTCATTTTTTTAGAACGCCAACAATATGATAGTCATATGAAGTGAGTATAATATATATAGTATATATATATATATATATACTGTATATATTGTGCTTGCCTGAGGGGCATCATTTTCACAAGAAAACCCCACTGGCCTCTCTCCAATATCTGTCGTATTGTTGCATTTTGATTCGTTTTTTAAAGTGACTCTGTGGAAGACACAATAACGCCAACACCAGTAACATCTGTCATTTTCAGAAATATTTATTCAAATAAATATGCTGTTGTATTATTATTATAAATATTATGGAAATTATGGAAAGTCAAAATATAGTGAATAAATTCCTACGTATTTGACTTAATCCTGCTATTTACAAAAGTATATAGTTTGCATCTTAAATGTTTGGTAGACCTCTAGGATATGCACGATACGTTATGGTGACTAACATTGAATGTAAACAGAAACTTTGTTGACTAGAAAACTCCAGTCTAAAAAGAAGACCATTAATTGGTATTTAATCGGAGTAGGTGTAGCAAATGAAATTGAAAGCTAGAGCAAAGAGTACTTGCTATTAGAGCAACCTGCCTCCCTAGGCAATTATGTTGACATTGTTAAGACCGCCAATCAATAAAATAAACCTTCCAAAATAGGTAATGAAGAAGTAAATGGAGGAAAAAAAAACCTTTGGATGGATTTTGCAGCAGTAAATTGTTTAAAATCTCATCTTTTCCAAGCTATTCTCTGTTGCATGACACTCATCATAATTACAGTGTAGGTTCAAATGTTAGTTTTGTAATAAATGGTAATAATAATGTCACAACAGGCAGAGCACCGCCTGGAGCTAGAATATATATTCTGTTACAGCTACAAGAATGTCCTGCTATTTCCTGTGTTTTTCTGTTAGATCTTTGGTTTATAGCTTTGGTGGAGAGATGGTCATGTTCCCTCATGTTCTCTTGTACATTGTAATCGCAGCACCCACCGCTAACATTAACACCACACCACACACGCATGTTTGTAACTGTTTGAAATTGATTAAAACAATCCCATTGCAGACTGAGTATGCTCTTCAGGTGCATTGCTAAAAGTAAATGTGAGACATTCATTTGGAAACTTAGCCTCAGCAATATATAAATTAGGGGAAACTGTCTGAACTCTTTGCTCTGAAACAATTTCACTTGTCACAACCATTTCCCTTGTGGACTGTTAGACTAACAGCCCAATATGCCCAACTGGACCAACCTGTTGCATTGTTTATGAGTTATGTATCTCTGATCTAATGGCAGAGCCTGGTATGTAAGATATAAGAAGTGGACATAGTCACTGTGATGTTTTGAAGCCTCAATTTTGGCATTTTGGCTTTTGTCATCTTGGCTGTTGCCATCTGGGTTTTTTGTAATCAGAAGTAACAATCACAAGGTAGCCTAGCCCTAAAGCATGCCCTGCTTTATGTTCTATTTTACTCTAAATGGGACCATCATTTACTACATTAACATCATGGTGTGTTGGAGAAAACTTGAAACTAGCGATTGAGACCGTAAACGTTTGTTTACCATGTTTACTGAGGTACTAAATCAAGTAAGGAGTAGGATCGTTACAGACTTCTATACAATCAGACTTCTTTTTGCAACTGGAGGAGTCGCTGGTCATTAGAAAAAAATGCAAGTTTAAAGTAGAACATATTGGCTTCACTTTTTGTTGCCGCCTGCTTATACCTCAAGGATTAGGGTTCCTGAATAGAACAGACACACAGTCTCACTGGCTGACCGAGCAGCTGAATGACGAACAGACCAACTGACTTCACTGTGTGCTGTCGATAGTTTTGCTGATATGCTACTGCAGCTGAGGTGCCAGTGCTTTTTCAAGACCAAATCCTGAATTCCAGCTAAAGAACTCAAACCTACATTTTTGTTTGATAGACACATAAAAAACAATTATTCCACCAGATTATTACTGTTTTTTGCCGTATTATTGTCGTTTGATAGTGCTGTTGTTAACTCAACCAGAGCTATTTAATTGAATTAACGGCATAAGTTTTGTTATTGAGAAAATAAGCCTTTTATTGAAAGTAACACTATGAAATAAAAAGGAACCTGAATGAACAATTACACAAGATTTATCACTATGAATGAATGTCCCACAAAATTGTTGACACTGTTGCCACAGTGTTGATAAAATAGACACTTTGAACTTTTATCCCTGACATGCTTGACCTCTCTCATGTACAGTATTTGTACACGTCTAGCACCACCCAGTAGGCGTGTGATATTCTTGGGTGTCGATGGACCGTGGCATTTGGAAGATGAGAAAACTGGATTGGCATACGATATGTCACATGCCACATAAAACTGTGAACATCTTGAATGTCTTAATATGCATGTAAATCACTGTTGACATTATGAGTGAGTCTTAATGGTTTGAAACCTGCCTGTCTCGGTCATCTTATTCTTATTCTGGTATTCTGTGTGTGTGTATACACACACAACCCAACTCTCCGTCACACATATCATAGGAACTAAATCAGTGTCTAAATGATTAATGATATATGATTCTCAAGAGGTACTCTATACGGTAACAGAAATTGTCTTGTGCTAAATATGCTGTAACTTTATAAAGTATCGAATATATGATGAGCACTTCACATGACGACAAGTCGCCTGAGATTGAACCTGATCTTTTTTTTTTTTCACCAAACACCGCTCTTAAATTTGGATTGTGAGAAGTCGAAGATATTTTTGAGCTACTCTCTTTAGCTTTAAGACTTCAGAACTGGTTAAGTGTACAGACATGGTTACTAAGTGATCAGCCTCCTTGCTATGACAGTTGGTTTTTGTGGGGTTCACGCTACCAGCTGCTTATGTGAAACACAGCACGGGACTCAGGGACTGAGAGCATCATACAAATGATTGGGGGCAAGATACTACTAAGGGCATGTTTAAAAAGCATATCGCTATCTATGGGGTTGATGTTGATGCTTGGCATGTGCAATAGCTGAGAGTGGCAGGTTTGCTCTCTTTTTACCTTAATCACAGAGAAATTTTATGGTTTGCAAGTTATTGTCTTCAGTGAACAGCAGAAACTGGGCAATGTGATAAATATAAAAATGAAAGCTTGGAGTTAAAAAGAAAAGAGAAGGATGTCCTTTAATTAAAGTAATCTTTTTAAGACAGAAAAAACAGACTCGCCATGAAGTCGTCAAAGGATTGTTAATGGTTTTAATGTTTATTATCTAACAATCTGTGTGTGATGGAAAGTATAGATAAAATAATGAATATTAGTAAAAAAAAAAAAATGTTGCCAACTTGCCAAAAAACAGTGACCACACAAACTAGTGCGGTAAGAAGCAACTGTTGCTATTAGAGGGGTACATTAGCACATATTTGCATTTCTAAGCTCTCCGATGACTCCGATAACTTTTTGACATCTGATTTTAAATTTGCACAAAGTTTATACCTAACAAGAATACAAAAAGTACACATGTAAGTAAACACTCGAGCAGCAAAATGTAAAAGACATTATATCATGCTTTTAAATTATGTGAATGACGGAAAACTGAAATACTGCACTGTACAAAATCGGAGCACTTGCTAAAACAATGCAGCTCCATTGTGTTTACAGGGAAACACTTTCCGCAGTTTGCCACATTAAGTCAATGTTATCTTTGGACTTGAGAGGGAATCAGCCACAAGATTTGTTCAGTGTTGACTGTAGCCACGTCTAAATATTCAACGCCTTCATCTAAGAGTGGTGTTGTATGTGAGATGGATGATGAACTTACCTCAGTACTCCTGTGATCCTCTTGAGTGGTGCTACTTCCCAGTTTGAGTGTTGCCTCTCTGGTCTTCCAGCTATTAAATGCTTCCAGGAATGCGAATGACTCTGCGACAAGCACCTACGTTGTAATGACAGGGAGCCTGCCAAGAAAGGCGATTGCTTTTTTTGTTTTTGGCATAAATCAGGGGGAGGGGGGAAGCCAAGGCTACAAGCCTCACGGTGGGATGACCATGACTCTGGCTTCTTCTGACAAATGCATGAGCTTCCTGGGGTGACTGTGGCTCAGGGGTGGTGCAGGGTCGTCCTTCAATCAGAGGATCGGCGGTTCAATCCCCGGCTTCACTAGTCCATGTCAATGTGTCCTTTGGCAATACACTTAACCACAAATTGCTCTCACAGGCTGTTTCTGAATGGGTGTGAATGGATATAGTTCTGATGGGCAGGTGGCACCTTGCATGGTAGCCCCTGCCATCAGTGTGTGAATGGATGTGAATGATGACG